CGCACCAGCAACGTTTCAGGCGGAGATGAATCACATCCTACGGCCCCTGCTGGACGAGTGCGTAGTAGTGTACCTGGACGACATCCTCATCTACTCCAAGAAGATGAAGGAGCACGTGGAGCATCTATGGAAGGTGTTCAAAATGCTGCGGAAAAACAAGTTCTACGTGAAGCTGTCAAAGAGCGACTTCGCCCTGGAGAATGTGCAGTTTCTCGGGCACATGGTGAGTGCAGAGGGCGTACACATGGACCCGCGGAAGATCGAAGCCGTCAAGAAGTGGAAAGTACCAGAGAACGTGAAGGATTTGCAGCAGTTCCTAGGCTTCGCCAACTACTACAACAGGTTCGTGCCGCACTATGCTAAGATAGCAGCACCACTGACCGACCTACTGAAAAATGATACGCCCTACAAATGGGATACTCCTCATCAACAAGCCATGGAGCAGTTACAGACAGCACTGACTACAGCACCAGTACTCATCCTACCGGACCCAGACAAGGACTACGTAGTTGAAGCAGACGCTAGTGACCAGGCAGTCGGAGCAGTACTAATACAGGATCACGGACGTGGTTTACAGCCTATCGCCTACCTCAGTAAAAAGCTACACGGAGCAGAACTGAACTATCCCATTCACGACAAGGAAGCCTTAGCTATAGTCGTATCCTTCAAGGCGTGAAGGTGTTACCTAGAGGGAGACAAGACCACAGTTTATACTGACCATTACAGCCTCAAATACCTGAAGTCACAGCCGACGCTCTCACGACGACAGGTGCGGTGGGTGGACTTCCTGGAAACTCACTTCCACTACGACATCGTCTGCAAGCCCGGGCTACACAACAAGGCAGACGCATTGAGCCGCCCCGGTCATGTAGCAGGCATCCAGCTCGACGGGATGAACCCTTTGCTCAAGGGTCTATTCCAACATGGATACTCCGTGGACGCAGAGATCGCTACAGCACCGACTAAGAAGTTGTTACAGTGGGAGAAAGACTTAGCGGTAAGGAAGGGTTTAGGAAAGATTTGGGTACCGAATTATGCCCCGCTACGGCAGATCCTACTGGAGGAGTTTCACGACGTACCTTACGCGGGACATTTTGGTAGCAACAAGACGTTAGCGGGAATTGCGAAGTATTACTACTGGCCCGGGATGGCAGCAGACATGCAGCAATTCGTCACCTCTTGCGACACATGCCTCAATCAGGTGGTTGAATAGTTACTGCGCACTGCTTGCAAGATGACGTCAGCCACTGGGACACACAGTTACCGACCCTAGAGTTCGCTTACAACAGCGCGTCACATGCGGCCACAGGGAAAACTCCTTTCTTCCTGTGTTACAGACAAGAACTACTCACACCACAGCAGCCAACCACACCGGCACACGTCCAAGCCGCACATGACTTCGTCACCACCATGCAGCAGCTATGGGAGAATATTCAACGACGTCTCACCACGATGCAGAACTCCCAGAAGCAGTATGCCGATCGTCAGCGACGTGATCACACCGTAGCAGTCGGAGATCAGGTGCTCCTTGACACGCGCAACTTGAACATGTCTCTCCTCCCATCCAAACTCCGGCCTCGCTTCTGTGGTCCTTTTCTCGTTGAGGCACAGGTGACACCAGTTACATTCTGCTTGCGCTTGCCAGATACGTGGAAGCTTCACAACGCTTTCCATGTCCAACTATTGAAACCCTACAAGGACCCCAACCAACAGTTAGAGGGACGGCAGCTACCGCCACCACCACCTGTTCTCATCCAGGATGAACCGGAATACGAAGTGGAGCGCGTTCTCACTCATCGGCGCCGCGGCGGCAAGACCCTCGGGTTCTTGATCCGCTGGAAGGGATACGACCCCACTGAGGACAGTTGGGTTGCAGAAGCTGATATGGGCAACGCACGTCGTGCTCTCAAGGACTATCTTGTCAAGCAGGGTGTATCTCACGCCACCCAGCTTTGAGGGGGGGACGTGTGAGAGTACGACGGCTTATGCCAGCTATGCTTGCTTGCCTTTACTTTATTATGCTATTTCTAGCATAGGATTATTTTATGCATGCATGAATTGCTTGATTTCCTAGGCTAGGTGTTCTTCTATATTTTATTATAGTTATAGCACCGAGCTAGGTTGCGTGCACCGAATTATGGGCTTTTCGGTTGCCACCGAATTGCCTTCTACCGAATTCGGGAAGGGTCTGTTCGGGACGCTTCCCGACCCTCAGAACCTTCGCGTAACACCTGGTTACTGGGCCTTGTGTTGAGCCTATATATAGCCTCGTGTTGTACCCAGGTGATCATTCAATTCAAACTCTCTTTCCTGAGCTCGATCCTAGATCCTCACAGCGACGCCTCCTCCCTATTCATCTCCGCCATTCGCTCCTCCCAAGCTATCGATGTCGGTTCGCCTGTTCCCAAGCTTGTCTCACCAGACCAGTGCCCGCCATTGCCGAACCAAAAAGGCCAGGTTCCGCATGAGAAGCCCCGCCTTCAGAACCAGCCGACTCCTCCTCCCCCTGCCACTTAACGTCGCTCTCCGCGCTACCTCCGCAAGCTCCACCGCGGCGCAATTCTTCCGCGCCGCAAAACTTTCCACATTCTCGACAATCACCACCCAGCCATGTGCTTTCCTCCAACGCTTCGAATAAGTCTCCTGGTGACGGAGATGTGTTTTTTGCGTCTTCTCCGCTGGCCTCTGCGCCACGCACGGGCTTCTGGTTGGGCCAGCGGCTACCACGCTTCCGCCTGTGTGCAGGTGGCGGAGATTTCTGCATTCAGCTGCGCAAAAGAGACATTTATATGGAACGGTCTCGGCACGCTGCTGGTTCGTGCCATCCGGTCAGAAGAAGTGGGGAATGTGAGGCCGACGAACACTGCGAGTCGCGGACTTTTGTCACCCTGCAGATCGTGCGCGACGATTCCCGTGTATAGGAGCTGGCCTCCGTGCTCATCTTCATCCTCGTCTTCAGCAGCCCCGCTATCATCTACAGCAATCGAGGATCCGTTTGTGCAGAATGACGTCTATTCGGCGGTCTTCACGGAACGCCCGTCTTTGGTGCAAGAAAGCACGACCCGATTCAACAGGAATGGTGACTTGAAATCCTACAGCTCTTATAGCTCGAGCGATAGCAAGCTACATAGGCCTGTATCTGCAATTAGTCTGCGGCGAGTTAAGTCTAACATGGTAGCTGAAGTGATTGCCAAGAGAACTAGGCCGGGCTCATACAAGTCTTCCCCCGGATATCTTAGTAATTAACGTCCTTTATAATAATGTCATTTAGGAGATTTGCTTGTAGATCTCGTTCTGCCGATCCTAATCGAGTCCAAATTATTTAGGGTCACGGACGAATCTATATCTCTTGGCAGCACAGAGACAAAGGGACAGCACATGCTGACTAGACGCACATATTTCGCTTGACTGATACGAACGGTCGTGTATGTGTTTCCGCTTTCACCCCAAATTCTGGCTGCATCCAGATGCCCAAATCGTTAGATTCGGTGGAACAATTCATAGTCTATGTGCAGAAACGAATCTTAGACCAAATGCTAATCTGCGATAAGAGGACCGAATGAATGGCTTGTGCTTTACCTGCAATAAATGACAACGGACCCACATGTCCTTGTTCTAATAAGTTCGAGCCGCACTGGCCAGCTCTGGCAGAATAGGCTATCAGCCACCCCTTGATACGTGTGATTGCCAGCTCCTGCTCATATTTAGGGCGAGATCCAGAAAATAGCCAGGAAACACGTTAGATTCAGTGGAAAAATTGGTGTCGGTGGAACACTTCGTAGTCTATGTGCAGAAACGAAATTCCTATCATAAGCTAATCTGCGAGAAGAGAACCGAATGAATGGCTTATGCTTTTATGTGCAATTAATAATACGGACCCACGTGTCCCTCTGCTGACAATGTTCGAGCCGCGCTGGCCAGCTAGCGCAGAATACTGTATCAGGCTATCAGCCAGCCCTTGCCACCTTGCGGTGAGTTTAGTGTCATTGCAGGTCCTCTTCGACTCTCCTACTACCCTCAGGTTCTCTCAGCTTCGGGACCCATCATGAAGCTTTCACGTACGTCAAGTCGATGCTGCTTAGTACTCAAACTCATTTTAGAAGGCTCTAGCCTACGGCGAGATTCGGAGTGACGATCTAGACAGGTATCACGAATCGTTTCTCGCAGAGCGGATACGAAGTCAAGGTTCTAACTGGCATTATCAGTCGTTCCGACTCGGATTCGCCTCGCTGAGCCTTTTTTCTGCACTGTTCTCTTTAGAGTGCGCCGACCGAAAAATTGTCCGTCAATCTCGAGTTTACATAATTTCGAAGTTGAGTGTCTCTAACTTTTGAAAGGTGGGCCTTATCTGCTGTGTCTTTGTATTGTGCGACACGATGCTTCCCTTAAATCGTCCAGCAGTCACCGAGGATTTACTTACTAGCGGCAACACCGACCAACATGGTTACCGCACCCGACTCGCAGAGCCAGTGGCGAGGGCTTCGCACTTTCGCAGCCAATCGGAGTCCGCATTTTCTTTTGAACAGAACCGTTCGGAAGGTCAGAATGCATCGGAATGGGAAAGCGGGAAATGCGGCGCGGTCGGCGGCGAGAATGGCGACGAGGGCGACTCGGAGGCGAGGGGAGGCACCATCCAGGCCAGAAGACTCGCTACCAGAGCGCATCGCGGCTTGTCGCCGTCCGTTGAGGCACCTCAAAAGGCGCATCGCTGCGTGTCACCGACAGCTACTAAAGTCGTTCTCGATTATCACATTGATACTATCGTTGTCGCCGACGGCGAATCTTCTAGATTCGCCGCTAACGCCGTCGAAGGCCATCAAGAACAGCCTGTTTTTCATCCTTTACCGAGTTCCTTTCAAACGGGCGCGAGGCTTTCGAAGCCGCAATCGCCGCTGCCACGTCATCGTCGGTACCGATCAGAGGATGCGTTCTCCTTTTACGAACCAGGTTCAGGGCCCTCTCCGCGCGCGTCGGCGCGCGGCGCCAATGCCGACGGTTCTATGGAGCGGGGACCGCGGCGCGTCGGCGAGATGACGATGGAGCGAGGAATGCAGCATCTGAGCACCAACGGCGGACTCCGAGTCGCCGGACGAGGCGGCGGACGAGACGGCGGACGAGCCGTGACGGAGACCACGGCGGAAGACGCGGAGGCAGCGGAAGCGGAGGCGGAAAGTATTGGCGACGGCGGGGAAACATTCGAGCATTATTTGCGGAGGAAAAGCACCGGAAGCACGATCCCGCGGAGTCGGGAACGATGGCAGGCGGAAGACGATGCGGGGAGTGTCTCCGCGGCCCCAGCCACCTCCCCCACTAGTACCGCCGCCCCCGCCTCTCGAGAGGCCATTCCGCGTGTTCCGAGCCCCACGGGGCTTCCGCCGCGGTCGCTGTCCCCGTCAGAAGCAGGCCCGTCATACAGCTTGGTAAAGTCCCCCGCTACCTCCCCCCCGCCTAACCACCGCCGATCGCGGAGTAGCGGCGGAGCCTTTCTCTTGGAAGGAGGAATGATGGGGGGACTTCCTCCTATTAGCCCGGGAACCAGCGGGTTTGGCGCGAGTTTTGCAGGCAGTGGCGCGCAGTTGCCCCCGCTGAGCCCCAGGGCGGGCAGAAAGGGGGACGGCGGCGCTTGCCCTCTTCCCAGCCCCATTGAGCGGAGCAAAACGACTGGTGGAAGCTTCGCGAGGGGTTCCGCGGTCGGGCCAGTTGCTGACGTGGCAAGCCTCCCTAGAAGCCGTACCACACACGCGACGGGGGAAGGCGGGAGGGGAGGGGGAGCGGGGGGAGGAGGAGGAGCGGGGGGAGGCGGACGTGGGGGCTTGGGGGGCGAAGGCAGGGCGGGTGGTGGAGGGGCAAACTCCCCGGTACTGAATCGGAAGAAGGGCGCAGGGGGAGGGGTTGGGGGGATCCCTAAAAGCGCGAGCAGTGGGAATCTGGCGCGAATGGCGCAGAGAGGAGGGGGGATGGGGGGCTTCACCCCCCCCACCCTGGGTAGTCCGACGCTTGATGCTGGCAATGGCATTACGGGAACGGGAACGGGAACGGGAACGGGAATGCCTCGCAGCGCAAGCAGCGGGAGTCTGGCGGGCATGGGGATGAGTGGTGCGGGAGTGGGATTAATTCCTTCCATGAGAACAATGCTCGATCCCGCCAGGGGGGGTGGCGGGGTCCCTAGAAGCGCCAGCAGCGGGAATCTGGCGCGAATGGGGCAGAGAGGTGGGCCCACCATGGGTAGTCCGATGCTTGATGCTGGCATGGGGGGAACGAGAACGGGAACGGGAACGGGAACGGGAACGGGAATGGGAATGGGAATGCCTCGCAGCGCCAGCAGCGGGAATCTGGCGGGGAACATGGGCGGCGGCATGGGCGGCATGAGATTCACTCCCACCATGGGCACGGTGCTTGGGAGTCCCAGGGTCCCTCGAAACGACAGCAGCGGGAATATGGGCAGCATGGCCGGGAGTGGTGGAGGGGGCATGAGTGGGAGTAGCGCGGGTAAAGGGGGAGGGCACAGGAGGACCAGCAGCGTTAGCAGCAGCAGCGGTGGTGGTGGTGGTTTCGCTAGTAATATGCAGCAACAGCAGCAACCGTACAGCCATGGCAATCCCAACAACAGTTGCAGCAGTGGCGGTATGATGGGGCGGGGGCACAGGCGATCAGCCAGTACAAGCTACCAGCCTGATTCCTCTCCCACCACCACCAAAAACCTTGCTGATTTCAGCAAGCTCAATGGATTCAAGGCTCCGAGAATCGTGCTTCCCCACCACAACAGCCTCAGCCCTGCCACGTCACCACCCAACACCAGTCCACGTGGCACTTCGCCCTCCCCCAGTTACCGCCTCCCCCCTTATAAAACTTCTCTCTCTGCTGCTCATGCTGCCGCTGCTGCTCATGCCACGTCGCTTGGAGGGCGTGTGCTAGGACCAGCACAATTACTTGGAGGCTTTACAACAGCAGTAACAGGAGCAACAGGAGCAACAGGAGCAACAGGAGCAGCAGCAGGAGGAGCAGCACCATCCATTCCTGCGACCTTCTCTCGCTCCCCCAGGCACAGAAGCCCCAATGTGCTCAGCCCGAGCCTCCGCAGCCCGAAGCATAAAAGCCCGAGCCACTCCAGCCCCAGCGTCAGCCGGACCAGCAGCTCAAGTCCGGCAGGAAATGCATCGAGCACTTTTATCGGCAACTCCTCACCAACTTACCTCCCTAGTCCAGCTTCCTCCGCGTCTTTAAATGCAAGTAGTTCGTATGCGAATTACCCGTATACCCCAGGAGGAGGGAGTGTGGTGCACAGCCCTCAATCCGTGGCTGCTCTAGCAGAGAGAGACAAGCAAAAGCTGGCCGAAATCCAGAGCTTCTTTGCTTCGGGAGGGCTAGGTTTGGGAAGGCGAGGTTCGGGGCGATGGGGGGTGGGAGGAGCCACCCCGAACCAGTCACCCAGGCCTGGGAGGTCCCCCAATACCTCCCCTCCTGTCACTTCACCTTCGAAAGGAGCAGCAGGAGCAGGTTTAGGAGGAGAGAGAGGAGGAGCAGGAGCAGGTGGAGGAGGGAAGAGAGGAGGAAGGGGAGGGAAGAAGGGAGTGCTAGGGCTAATTCTAGGGCCTATTCGCACGCCCAGTCCCAGCGAGTATTACCGGATTGGTTCGCCTGGTGGCGGTGGGTGGATGGGACGGGTGTGGAGACAGCGAGGGGAAGGAGAGAAGCAGGTGGAAGAGAAGGAGGAGGAAGCGGAAGGGAAGGAGAAGGAGAAGGAGAAGGAGAAGGAGAAGGGGAAGGAGGGAGAGGATTGGGGGAAGTACATGGGTGGTGAGGCGTATGAGGAGAGCGAGGATGGGGAAGGGGAGGAGGGAGAAGCAGGAGGAGGAGCAGCAGCAGCAGCAGCAGCAGCAGAAGCAACAGCAGGAGCAGCAGAAAAGGCAGCCAGTGGGGAGGAAAGAAGAGAGAAGGCAGAAAGGGAGCAGGGAAATCTGACAAAAGATGCTGTTGCAGCAGCAGCAGCAGCAGGTGCAGCCGCGGCACAAGGAAAAGGAGCTGTAACGGGGGCAGGCACAGGCGCAGGCGAAGCTGGCAGAAAATATGCGAAGCTGGCAGGAGCCCGGCAAGGAAAGGGGGATGTGAAAGCCATGGTGCAGGCAGCAGGAGCAGGAGGAAAGTCAGACGCAAAGAGCATGGTGCAGGCAGGAGCAGCAGGAGGAGGAGGAGGAGGAGGAGGAGGAGGAGGAGGAGGAGGAGGAGGAGGAAAAAAGGCCAAGGCAAAGGCCATGGTGCAGGCAGCAGGAGCAGGAGGAAAGGCAGACGTGAAAGCAGCGGTGCAGGCAGGAGCAGGAGGAGGAAAGGTGGACGTGAGAGCGCTGGTCCAAGGAGCTTTGGAGGAGTGGCGCAGGACGGAGGCAGCAGCAATGCAGCAGCTCTCAACCTCTGTGTTGGGGAGAGGGTTGTCGGATGTGCGCAAGGTGTATCAGCTGGGGAAGGAGCTGGGGCGGGGCAACTTCGGGGTGATCAGGGAGGCGGTGGATTGGGTGTCTGGCGAGCGGTTTGCCTGCAAGAGTGTCAACAAGAAACGACTGGAGGTGAGGGCCGAGGGGGAGGGGAGACGGCGGATAGGGAGTGGGAGGGGGAATATGGGAGTGCTGAAGATCAGAATTTTGATTGAAGAGTTGCAGTTTGCTGTCAATCTTCTTTTTTTTAGGCGCCTCAAAAGTGGGAGGGGGGATATGGGAGTGCTGATTGAAGGGATGCAGTTTGCTGTCAATCTCTTGGAATTTTCATCACCCTCTTGGGACTTTTTTTTCCGCTCCCCCTCTGTCCTCCCACCCGTCTTCTTGCCTCTTCTCTCTATAACCTTCCCTCCTTTCCTCCTCTTCCTCACCTTCCCTCTTCTCCTCCTCTCCCTCGCCAGTGCTTCATATGAGTCTCGCCTCTTCTCTCCCTCACCTTCTCTCCTCTCCTCACTTTGTCATGTTGATACCAGTGCTTGAACAACTGTGAGGATCTGAGGAGGGACGTGGAGGTGGTGCGGACGATGAGTCTGTTTTTGAGTCGACTCAAAGATGGCCTCTTCCCCCCCCCCCACCTTCTCTCCTCTCCTCCCCTGGTCTTGTTGATACCAGTGTTTGGACATCTGTGAAGATCTGGAGAGGGACGTGGAGGTGGTGCGGGCGCTCAAGAGGGGCATGCAGGCATGCAGTCATGCAGGCATGCAGGCATGCAGGCATGCAGGCATGCAGGCATGCAGCCATGCAGCCATGCAGCCATGCAGGCATGCAGCCATGCAGCCATGCAGGCATGCAGCCATGCAGGCATGCAGCCATGCAGCCATGCAGCCATGCAGCCATGCAGCTCCTTTTGAAATGAAACCCCTCACTCGCCTCTTCTTCTTCTTCTCCTCCCCATCCCCTCCCACCTGCCAGTGCGTGGACGACATAGCGGATTTAAAACACCCCCTCACCCGCCTCTTCTTTTCCTCCCCTCCCCTTGCACTCGCACCTACCAGTGCGTGGACAACATAGCGGATCTGAGGAGGGAGGTGGAGATGATGCGATCGGTCAAGGGGTCCTAGTTCGCTTACAGACCTTCTCAACCCCTCTTATTGCCTTTCCCTCCTTTTTCCCTCCCGCCTGCCAGTGCGTGGACGACATAGGGGATTTGAGGAGGGAGGTGGAGGTGATGCGAGCAGTGAAGGGCCATCCCAACATTGTGTCGCTCGTGGATACCTATGAAGATGACACGGTGAGTTGGTTCTTGAGATGACACTGTGAGTTGACATTGTGATTTGAGTCTGGATCTACCACTGTGTAGCGAACGAGTAACATCGCTACTCAACGTGGTAGCATCACCCTGTGCGCACATGGGCACATGAATGATTTCTGTAACCCTCAGTTAGCGCCACTTTTGAGGCGCCTCAAAACTAGACTACTCAATGTGTTAGCATCACCCTGTGTGCACATGATAATTTCAGTAACCCTCAGTTACCACCACCTTTGAGAATTCTCAAAAGCTTTTGAGAATTCTCAAAAGCGACACCCTGTGTGCACATGAAAATATCAGTAACCCTCAGTTAGCGCCACCTCAAACTCACGATCGAATACTACCCACCTTCTCTCCCCCTTCCCTCTCCCCCTCTCTCCCCTCTTCCACCCCCTCCCCTCCAGGACGTGCACATGGTGATGGAACTGTGCGACGGGGGAGAGCTATTCGACCGCAATGACTGATCAAGCACCCCTGTGAACCCTGCCCCTCTTATCTTCCCCCTCCCTGCCCCACTTTCCCCCTAACCCCTCTCAGGACGTGCACATGGTGATGGAGCTGTGCGAGGGGGGAGAGCTATTCGACCGCATCGTGGCGCGCAAGCACTACGGAGAGCGCCAGGCAGCGCAGGTGGGTCTTACGCGGTGGATTTCTTGAGTGAGTCGACTCACTAAGCCACCAGGCAAGCACTACAGAGAGCGCCAGGCAGCGCAGGTGCGCTTTGTCAGCGAAAAGCTCTCGAGTCGCCTCTGCAGGGTGCTTGTCAGAATGCGAAAGTGCTCGCTGTAAGATGTGCTTGGTCACATTGTTGACAGACCGCATTGTGGTGTGCAAGCACTACAGAGAGCGCCAAGCAGCGCAGGTGGGCTTCGTCAGCGAAACGATGTTGAGTCTTAGTGAGCAGCTCTTGAGTCTGAGTTGGCAGTTTATGAGTTGAGTCTGCTCTGCGGGAAGCTGAAAGGGCTCATGTGGCAGCGCAGGTGGGCTTCCTGAGCGAACAGATGTTGAGTCTGAGTGTGAGTGAGTAGCTCTGTGTGTGCTCTGCAGCCCGCTGAAAGGGCTCATGTGGCAGCGCACGTGGGTTTTGAGGAGGTGTTGTCTCGAGACCCCTCGTGCGAGACAGGCGGTCTTATTGATTCCATTTGCGAGTCCGTGAATGGTGGCCTGTGGTTTGTCTGAGAAAGGTGGGCTTACCCCTCGCTGGAGCTATATGGAAGCTCCTCATTGGAGCTGTATGGATGGTGGCTCTGCCTGAAACATGCTCCCCGTGTGTGGTGCTGTGCTGCGCTCTGCTCTTCTGTGTGGTGCTGTGCGGTGCTGTTCTAATCCATGCAGGTGTGCCGCACTCTCGCCGACGTCCTTCGCTACTGCCACTCGCAGCGCATCCTGCACCGCGACTTAAAGCCCGAGAACGTGCTCCTCGTCTCAACCCGCAGCGACACGTGTGTGAAGGTGATCGACTTCGGCATGGCGTACCGCTTTCAGGATGGCGAGCGCTGCACGCAGCGCGCCGGCACTCCGAATTACATCTCCCCGGAGGTCATTGCAAAGAATTACGGCACCGAGGCAGACGTGTGGAGCTTGGGGGTGATTCTCTATGTCATGCTGTGCGGGCTGCCGCCGTTTTGGGGTGATTCGACAGAGGAGATCTTCTCGAGTATTTTGTACGAGCCGTTGGATCTGGAGACCGAGCCTTGGCCGGATGTGTCTGCCGCGGCTAAGGACCTGGTTCGGCAGATGTTGTGCCGGAGGTTCGACGAGCGGATCACCATCGCAGAGATCTTGAGTGAGTTGGCATTGTTGGCGTATGGGTTGTCTGTGGGGCTACTAGCAGGGCTGTGTATGTTGCTGCCCACTCCCCTTTCACCCATCAGTGTTTCCACTGTGTGTGAGGTGCTGTTGCTGTTTGGGCTGTTTGTGGGGCTGATTGCAAGGCTGATTGCAAGGTTGCTTGCATTGTTTCTCACTCAACTATCAGCGTTATCTGTAAAGTGCTGTGCTGTGGGGTGCTATACCGTGCTGTGCCATATTGTGCTGTGCTGTGCTGTGCTGTGCTCTGCTCTGCTCTGCTCTGCTCTGCTCTGCTCTGCTGTGAGATGCTGTAAGGTGCTGTGAGGTGATTCCCCCTTTCCCCCTTCCTCTTCCCCCTTCTCCATCTCTCCCATTGTTTGATGTTTTGGAAATCCTTCTGTTTTTTACCTTATTTTTTAACCACCTCTTCAGTCCTGTAACCTCGTTTTCATGTAGTGGTTCGTTAGTAAGCCACGGCAACGGTACCTCTCCATATCTATTTACCTCTAACCTCCTCCCTCCTCACCATTCCTTCCCCGTGCCCCCCACCTCGTCCCCCATATCTTGACCGTGCAACTGTCGACTGTGGACAACTCAACAATGTGATTCAAATGTTGCAACAGAGCATCCATGGATAAAAGCCCTCACTCTCGCATAAGGTGCCTGGGTCAGCGCAGGGATTATTCTTTCAAGGCAATGATAGCCGAAACCAACAAATGTTGGGTTTCTGTCATTAGAAGTCGAGCTAATTTTAGGAGATTGCATTGCATGCTCAAGATCACATGGATTATATTGGTGGCTGGTGTCTTGCTAGTCTTCTCCTTATTCACTTTATATCTTGCAAGTTGCAATACGGGAGCATTTTCCATGCCCTTCAACAAATGATACCGGTACATTGTAAACACACGAAAGGGTTTTTGAAATTATGTATTTCAACAGCGCAACAACTTGTAACACAGATTTTGGGTTGGAGAGTGCACGCTAAGCACCTTTCTTAATCACAAACCAGATTACACCCTTCGGGAGGTGAGCATTGAGCAACTCGTGTGTCATGCATGTATTACCCAAACCACGCCCGAGTCGCACCCGCACCAATCGCAATCCTTCCGACCCATCATTGCCCAAGGTCCTCGCCTGCGGAGAGTCACTACACAACTGGAGTGGACTACGGAGGAGGGCACGGGGTTGTGAGAGTGATCGTAGCGCTCTAGTAGCGTTCTTACTTCGTGCGTGTGTTCACAGAGAAGTTTTGCAAGAGTTTCCACTAAGGAACTTGAAAGAACAACTTGCAATGAAAAGTTGATAGTACAATTGAGGCATGCAGAACAAAAGGACTAGAATGGCATGCAACACCTAGCAAGGGCGAAATCTGCCAGCGCAGCAGAAGAGCGGCTTGCCAACGCTGCAGCAGAGTAATCTGCTAGCGCTGCACTACGCGCGGTCTGCCAGCACTGCAGTCGGAGGTGACTATCTGCAGTCGCAGGTTGTCTATCTGCACAGATGTGCGCACCTACCAAGTAAGTGCAGGTTGGCGGTTTCGCCGTCAGGCACATTGCGCATGTGCCAAGTAGAAAACGTGTCGTCGTTTTCGCCAGGTGCGTGCCATCGACCACGTGATGCCGTTCCGCAGGTAGAACTTCGCCAAAATCTCCTGGGCGAAAGTTTGCACGCCTCCGCAGAGTTTCGTACAACTCTGCAACTTCGGTCGACCAGCTCGACATCGATCGGTCGAACAACGTTCCCCGAGCAGAGCTCCTTGACCCGAACTCTTCGACCAGAGTTCCTCGACCAGGATCGTCGACCAGCGCTCTTCGACCAGAAGCGTCGCGCAGAGCTCGTCGACCAGATTCCGTCGAGCAGAGCCTGCTCGACCGCAACTTCCGTCAAACTGCAGAAGCTCACTTCTTCGACCAATCCGTCAAAAACTTCCCGTCGACGGCGAGATCGGCCCGCCCAAGCGAGGGCGAGGAATATCTTTTCGACATCGCCTAGCTAGGAATCACCCTATTTAAACCGTTGATTTCATTGTATCACTTACTTCTCGCATTCTATAGCTTACATCATAACATATGTGGAAGTTTATTAGAGAATGATCAAGGGAAATTCTCCATGAGCGTCCAATGTCAACCAGGGCCCAAAATTGGTTTTGGCCCACCCTGTCGAATCAGGAAGTGGGCCCAATCGTGTCTGATCGGCTCTGATCTAATCGGGTCGGATTGTTGGTGATCACTTTGCTCGAGCCGCCCGATCAGCGGTGTTTTCCGTTAAAGATTTGAAACTGTTGCTCGGCAAACGCCAGAACATCACGTGGAAATGTTATTTCAACTCACGCGAGATTGGCGACTGAACCTCACCTGGCGATCGAATTTGTTTCCCTGTAATATCGTCAACCCCTGGAGAGTTCTCGCCATGTGCCATGCATGAGCAATGGGTTCACGAGACTCAGTTCAACAGTGTAACATTTCGTAACCCTCGTTATGGCCCTCGATCACATGCAATCAACTGATAGAGGGTGATTGAGCAATATCAAGTTTGATCGGGGTGGCAATCGGGTGTGATTGAGTCGGGGCGATCAGCTGATCGCGATCAGCTGATCGCGATCAGCTGTTTGCCTTCGATTGCCTGAAATTGGCTTCCAGGCTTCCTCGAAGTTGTTGATCGCTTCTGATCGAGGCGATCAAACTCGATTGGGCCCACGTCATCAGAGTTCCAGGGTGGGCCAACCCTGACTATTAGGGTAAACAATCTTGTACACTGATGGAAACAGGGTTAAAAAAAACTTTACCTGAGTTTGGGTAAAAGTGAGGGTAAGAAGTCTGGGAGGCTGACTGGGTCAGGGTAACTGAAAAAACGGCCTCCAGTCAGGGCAATCAGGATATTATACCCTGACATTTTGGTTCCTGATGTCAACCATCACAACCATATCAACTAGTGTGATAAGAGTGATTCCCTTGATTATTTGCAGGACCCTTGGTCTGGTATCGCAGTATCAGCCAGCCCCTTCACTTCTTGAATACCCAACCACTAGTAGTCTGTACACATTTAGGCATATATTTTAAACCAAGGCCCAGTTCGGCAGGCATTATAAAAATGGCCTCGGCGGATGGGCTACAGTGACCACCCTGGAACCTTCTTTGATAAGCGCGTGAATGATTATCAAGGCTCGATATAAGCGGATCTACGCCGAACCTGACAATAATGGAATGCCTCTCGAACAGCCCTTTTTGTGCAGGCGTTTTCACCCGACGGAAGCTTCCACGAACCCAGTTTCTCGGGCAAAGTGCCCATTTTTTTAATCCGCCGCACCATGCGGCCTCGAGGCCCCGCACCATGCGGGGTATCAGTTATTCGGGGCATTAAACAGTGTCTGGTCAAATATCTTAGCCAATCACATGATCGCGCGATCCATCTGAGAAACTGCCTACCATCTTCTGCGAAACCAAAATTTCGATTGGCGCCATCAATCTACACCCAATAAATGCCAGCTGAACAGTCAGCCCGTTTTTTTGAAGGTGCACCCCAGCTACTGTCCGATCTCGAAGCTGTTTCCAAAAAATGCCCATGGGGCATTTTTTGGGGGCCCGTTAAAAATGGCCATAATGGCCATAATGGCCATAGTGCCTGCCGAACTGGGCCCAATACTTCTATTGGAAAAGGGAGCATAGAGGGACGGAACCTTGTGCCGGATTACATGTTGTGGTTCAATTGTCGTTTTTGTGATCGTTGGTACAGTAGCGCCAAATGTGCATTCATGTCACCCGTGTGTGTCATGGCAGCTTGGTTGGCGTGTGGTGGAGGAGGGAGGGACGTCAGGGAATGCAAGGAAGGAGGGTGGTGTGGTCTCGAATTACAGATATCTTGTCTACAGTATTCAAATCCAATTCCGGAACGATCCGAAAGTTTTGACGTGTTGTGGTAGAACTATGTATTGTAGTAAACATCGACAATCAGCCCGATTGTTGGAGGTGGAGTGTTGATTGTTACAAAGAACCGTTGGGATAATGATTGACCTTAGCCTTTCTTTTTTCGTGGTTTGTCTGGTGGGGACAGGGAAGGGGACAGGGTCTGTGTGGAGAAAGGAGAAAAAAGGATGCGATGTCTCACGTGTCTTTTTTCGGACAGATTGTGTGTCGGCTACTGCTTCTGCTTCGAACAAGCAACCCGTGGGCACCCCGTATAGAGCGGGGTTTACCGAAACATCACACCTCACTTTGTTAGTTTGATATAATAAGCTGACAACGCATGTTTCTGCTTTCCGTATTTGGAAAATATGGTATCCATTATCGTGTTTTGTTTTTTCAACTTGTTTTGTTTTTTCAACTTGTTTTGTTCTTCAATCCTTAGCACGGAACCTGATCCGGTGCAGTTTGCAGCAGATATCGTGTGGGAGTCGCACCGCAATAGCGAGGCGCGCATCCAAACGTGACCGTCTCTTGGAAACGATCCGCCACCTTGTGCTGCCCAAGGTGAACAATTTGCTTGTGAGGGTGACGCACGCATTGATTGCCGAATCCCTGCCCATTTTCTTACCATGGCAATAATTATTTCCTGCCAGTGCTGCCCAAGTCCCATCAAGGCGGGAAAGCGAACAGGGCTGTGGAGGCCTGAAGAAGATGCCCGAAGTCCAGATCAGACCATATGGCTGGCATGGCAACGCGAGGTTGGCTAGAGCAGGGCAGGGCAGGACAGACCAGTGGAAAGCAAGGCTGGGTAGCGCAGCCCACGCAGCAGCAGTTCGGCAGCAGCAATGCTACTTTTCACCAAATCGTCGCTCCATCAGTTGTCTGTGAGACAGCATGCACTATCTCTCATTGCCAAGCGTTGGTGCCTCAAATCGTTGCAATTCACATCACACAGACTGGCTCTAGCCATCAGACGTTTTTCGCCAGACATCTCCGCATTGCATGCTGCTCTTTCTGCATCCGCCGTCGCGCCCTCCCAAACAAATAGAGCTGCTTCGCCGGATCAACAGCAGCCATTTTACCTCTTCCACCGTCGGTTTCTCTCCTGTACAGCACTTACCGCATACCGCACCGAGTTCATCCGTCCACCTCGCCGCTCGCTTCTACGTCCATTATTCGCACGTATCTACCCTGCTGCTTCCTAACGACAATCCGAAATGTGTCATCCGCCGTCGCCTCCGCTTCGCCAGTCCGCACTCCTCTCGAGCACCACACAAAACGCCAACCACTGGCGGCAAACACCTCACGACGAAGACTACCTCCAACACGTCTCGTCGGACGATTGCTACCACAATCAGCGCCATCATGGTGATGATAAGCACTATCGCCATCGGAATGAGTTCGGCGAAGATAATCGGAATTTCTGTTCGGAGCACGAGCGTGCGCATCTGATGAGTCATCAGTTGTCGGCATCAGCTCCCGCAAGCCCCGAATCTTCGCGTCGCCAACGGGTCTATCATTTCGTAACGGCGACTCAGTCCGCTAACGGCTGCGCCGGCGGCGGTAGTGACGCGGTTTGCAAACCGCCGCCTGCGGCTGAACGTCTGCTCGTTCGCGGATGCAAGCTCGTGCCGCATCCTTCCGGGCCGTATCACTCGCCGCTTATGACGCCGCCGCAAGTTACGGCGGCGAAGACGCCGCAAGTTCCGGCTGCAAAGACGCCGCTCCAACAGCGGCATTTGAGGCAAGTTAGGCCGTTACGCCAGCGCGATTCGCCTCAAGCCGCTTCGCCGCCAGTTGTGCCACCGCGCTCGTCGGCGCCGCGGCTTACGCGGCCGCCGCCATCCATATCATCCTCTCTGTCGTTCGCGACGCCTCCTCCCCATTCATCTCCGCCGTTCGCTCCTCCCAAGCCATCGCTGTCGTTCTCGCCTGTTCCCAGGCTTGTCTCACCGAACCAGCGCCCGCCCTTGCCGAACCAAAAAGGGCAGGTTCCGCACGAAAAGCTCCGTCTTCCGAACCAACCGACTCCGCCCCTCCCTGCCACTCAACGCCGCTCTCCGCCGATCTCTCCGCCAACTCCGCTGTCGCGCTGTGCTTCCGCGCCCCGAGCATTTCCACAATTTCGGCAATCACCACCTAGCCCGCCGCTTTCCCCCGACGCTCCGAGTATGACTCTTGGTGACGGAGATGTGTTTTTTGCGCCTTCTCCGCCGGCCTCGGCGCCGCGCACTGGCTTCAGGTCGGGCCAGCGGCGACCGTGCTTCCGCCCGTGCGGGGGTGACGGAGACCGCTGCATTCTGCGGTGCAATAGCGACAATCACATGGACCGGACTCGGCGCGCTGCTGGTTCGCGTCATCCGGTCAGGAGGTGCGGGGGATGTGAAGTCGAGGAACAGTGCGAGTCGCGGTTAGAACAGGCGCTTCTGTCCCCCTGCAGATCGTGTGTGACGGCTCCCGCGTGCGGGAGATGGCCTCATTCCTCATTTCCATCCTCGTCTTCAGCTGCCCCATTATCGTCGCCTACTACAGCAACTGCGGAGTTCTTTGATCAGCATGAAGTTTTTTCTGCGGTTTTCACCGAAAGCCCATCTTTTTCGGAAGCGGATACGAACAAGTTCAACAGCAATGGCGTCGTGAAACCCTACAGCTCTCCTTTCTCGAGCTCTAGCAAGCTACATAATAAGCCTGTATCCGGAAATAATTTGCGGCGAGTTAGGTTTGACATGGCCGCCGAAGTGCTTTGCGTTTGAGAGCGTGTCAAGGCAGGTGAAGAGCGTAAATTTCGGTTTACCCCCTTTTTTGGATGCCTTGGAATAAAAAAATCAGTTTCCGTTTATAAATGACTTTGTAATGCTGCTCCTTGTATAAAGAGGGTCTTTCGTTATTCCTGAATATCCGCTGAGCTAGCATCCACAAACGATGAGGACGCGGTGAAAGTGCAAATATCGCAGGATCGTCTGCACATATCGATCCCCGCAATCGATTGGGCAGATCGATTGGCGAAACGTGGCGATAGCGACGCTGTAACGATCGCCACTGAAACTTGATAGATCTCCCGCGATTTGTGATCAGTCGCATTCACACACTGTCCAAAAAATTGGGCCAAAAAGCGTACTGTAGTATAGTTACAGCGTAGTAAATAGGGTAACCGATCCGCACATCGATCGCGACTGACGATCGATCGTCTACTTTTACCGCGTCCTCAGGACGCTCTCTAGTGCGAGCGTACGCCACACAAAAACCCTCACAGTTGTCAGGGTCAGCACAGCCTACAGGGGTATAGTAGTTGGTTCGAGCTGCTGAAGAACCTTCGCTAACTGGATAACTTGTCCACAATGGCGGCCGACGCGTGCACGAAACCCGCGCATCTTGACGGCGCTTCCGCCCCTGCGCCTTCAACTCCAGATAGATTAGGGTTTTCCGGAGCAGCAGAGGCAGTAGAGAGGGGGAACGCAGGGGGTGGATTAGGGCTTTCTCGCGCGGTCGAGGCGGCGCGATCTGCGATCGGGCGCGCGGTGGAGTTGGAGCTCTTAAACGACTTGCGGATTAAAGGCGTGCTTTCAGACTGCGATCACAGGCTCAAGTGCGTTGCATTATTTATTATTGACCGTAAAAACACTTGCACTTGCGATACAGTCAGATTTTGCTCTGGTTTCACATTGCACTGCTTGAAATCCCTAGTCCCTGAGAAAGCACTACGAGGGAGACAGGTTTTGCCGAGTTTTTTCTTTGAATGGGATCCGATCGTTCATGTTCAGGCCTCAGTGCGTGAATTCTGCCGTCCTCACTATGTTCCATGTCAGATTTTACTGTTCCGCCAAATTTGTATTTCCCTGCTTGATTCTTATATCCGTTGCAGTCAAGCTCACGACTCCCCCCGCGTTCCCTGTTCCATTGTTTCACTGAAACTGCAGTTGCACTGTCACCGCAGCTTCCACTGAAACAACCATGGTACGTTTCATCAGCCACTTCCCTCTCCCTCTCATTACGACCTATCCTCCCTCTTCCCCTCCTCCTCTCCCCCTTCCCCCCCCGCACCTCCCCCTCCTCTTCGTCATTCTCCCCTACCTCCCCTTGTTTCCTTCTTCTACATCTGCTAAGCTCTATGATGGGCCATGCATGGGATGATGGGCCATGCATGGGATGAAGGGTCATGCATGGGATGATGGGCCATGCTTGGGATGAAGGGCCATGCATGGTAGGCCGTGCATTATGTGTTGTACATGAGAAGGCGTGTATGCATTAGCTCTACCCTTAACGGCGAACCTGAGTGGGAGTTACCCTGCTGTCCTAACTGAAACCCTCCCCGCCATACCCACCCATCCCACCGTTGCAGGGCGAGTCGCTGTCATTTCCAGCCTTGTTTGTGAGAGCAAGGGCTGTTCGCCTGCTACACGTACCGAGTATGTGTACATTGAGGCGGCATGGGGCTTGCTAAGCTACGGAATGCTTTGTACAGTTACCATTGTTCCGGTGGTTTGTATATCGGTGTGCATGGATGAAGACAAAATTTTATACCCATTACTGGCATGTGCCCACATCACACAAGCATGTACAGCACTCTACAGAATGTACAGCTGCACACACCTAGGTTCACTAGCTGCACACTAGCAGCAGTCCTTCCTTCTAATAGCTGATTGTAAAAGCCCATCGTCCCCAATCACTAACACCTGGCTGCAGAGTCAACTCCACAAACAGTAATTTGATGCAAAGATGTGCCAATGATGCAGGTGAATTGATCGTCAAAGGGCTAGACAATGGGGCAGTCCAGCTGCAGGGTTACAAGCCCTGGTGCCGCTCGCCAGCTCTGGAGACAAACAGCAAACACAAGGGCAGTAGGGGCGGATTGTCAGGGAGAAGAGGAGGGTGTTTGTAGCATTACCGTCGCCTCCTCTCGCTGAAGTAAGTGCCTCTACAGCCGGCGGGCTGTGCCGAGACAGGGCGGACAAAAGGAGGGCAAAGAAAGGAAAAGAATCGTACCTGGGTATGGGCGACCCTCACGAATGTCACTCGGGCACAGTCATCCATGACTGCTTCAGACGGTACAGTGGTGGGTTCACCAGCCACATGGTAGAACATACACGGCCAAAAGGGGGCAAACGACGAGAAAGAGTCGTACCTGAGCCTGAGCCACCCTCACGAATGTCACTCGGGCACAATCATCCATGACTGCTTCGGATGGTGCAGTGGTGAGTTCACAAGCCACACAGACAAAAGGAAGTTCAGGAAAAGGAGGGGCACGAACCTGAGCCTGAGCCACCCTCACGAATGTCACTCGGGCACAATCCTCCATGACTGCTTCGGATGGTGCAGAGGTGGGTTCACCAGCAGCCGTGCTCGCATTACCCGCGCTTCCCCTTGCCGCAGTGCGAGCCGCTACAGCCGGGCTGTAGCGAGCCAGGGCGGCAGCTGCGGTGGACAGGGTGGAGGCGCATCTAGAGCAGGCTGTATCTGCGGAGCCGCAGGCCTTGGCCAGGCGAGTGACGTTCTGACTGCAGGGAGCAGGAGGGGAGGGCGGGAAGGCGGGAGGGAGAGCGGAAAGAGGGGAGAAGTTCGGAGGGACACAGGAGCAGACAGGGAAGGGATGAATAGGAGCAGACAGAGGGGAGGCGCATCTGGAGCTGGTTGTATCTGTCTGTTGCGAGGCACATGCATGTGAAAGGCACATGACCTGCAGGAAGCTGGGCTGAGTTGCAGGTATGAAGCAGGAGAATAGGAGATGACAGATGAAACAAAAGAAGTTAAACACTTCCAGGGCAACAATTATTTACTGATTCGGATAAAACGCTTACAGTCAGATCAAAGTCCTGGACCCACAATACTGGGCACTTGTTGCTTGGCGGATCCACTGCCACCAAAGGCAGCAGACTGCAACGTGAGAGAAGGAGAATACCTTGCTGTTGAGAGAATAAGTGCCCATGTTCTCATCAGACATGTCTTATACACTTACAGTCGATCCACGTCCTGCACCCACACCACAGGGCACTTGTTGCTTGGCGGATCCACTGCCACCAGAGGGAGCAGACTGCGACGAGATGAGGCTGAAGAGGAGGAGGAGGAGGAGGCGTTGGTGGGAGGGTTGCAGAGGGAGAAGACGTTGGCAGTGATGCGCGGGCGCACAGGGGACGCCTGCAGATGCGCCTGGAGGGACTGGGGAGCGGATGAGGGGAGGGAGATGGGCAGAGAGAGAGGAGAGAGACCACACGAAACGGAGGAAGGCTCAGAGTCGAAGCCTTTTAAATCAGAGCTGGGAATCAGGTCAATGGGCAGTGATGCGCGGGCGGACAGGTGATGCCTGCAGATGCACCTGGAGGGACTTGGGAGCAGAAAAGGGTGGGAGTTGAGGAGCAGAGAGACACACGAGTGCAACATGTTATTTGTCAGAGTTGGGGATCAGGACATTGGCAGTGATGCGAGGCCGAGCAGGTGATGCCTGCAGATGCACCTGGAGGGACTGGGGAGCGGATGAGAGAGGGAGAGGGGCAGAAATACCACAAAAAACGGGAGAAGTCAGTGGGCTTTATGAGTCAGAATTGGGCTTGTCGACAGTGACGTGAGGAGGAACAGCCACGTGTAGAAAGTGAAGTTTTGAGACGTCTCAAAACTTCACCTTTTACACGAGCCTTATGAGTCAGAGTTGGGCTTGTCGACAGTGACGTGAGGAGCAACAAGGGATGGCTATAGGTGAGCCTGGCAGGTCGTTGGGAGGTTTGACCTTGATTTCTGAGATGTCTAGCCTGCACCAGCTTCGCAGTACCTTCCTGCAAGGGGTGTTGAGCTCGGGCTGTGTGGTGATGGCGAGGAAGAACATGGGCTCCCTCACAGCGAAGCTCCTCTGAAACGCCAACAGCGGCCCGCAGCATGCGTCTGGGGATGGAGACGGGCCAGAGCAGGCCGAGAGAGCTGGAGGTGATAAAAGGCACGGGGGAAATGAAGAGGCAGGCGAGGCGGTGAGAAACAGAGGCGAGAAACGTTTGAGCCGAGTAGGTGCCAGAGCAGACCGATATGGGCGGAGCATGTGCAGACGAGAAAACCGAAAGGGAAAGAGAAAAGAAATGAGGGACGGCTGGAATAGACAACTTTTTTGAGAATTCTCAGACACCGACTTGAACAGCCCGTGGATGCATGCGTCTTGAACATCTAAAATGGTGCACGAACGAATCTACTGGCGTCACACGCACCGATTGTAACAGCACCGTGGATAATGCTTGAACTGTGGGTGCAAAGAAATCTAAAAGCATATATGTGATGTTCCGGTTGGAGAGGCAGGTGAAGTCCACGTTACAGCCGTAGGTTGGAATCGTTGGTAGGGGAGCTGGTACCGGGCTTGCCCTTGCCCTGCTGCCACCGCTGCTGTTGCTGCTGCCGCTGCCAGGGCTAACAGGGCTGGAAAAAAATCCTACGAGCATACAGAAAGGGGATGGACAACGTACAGGTGATGTTCCCGTTGGCGAGGGCACTGAAGTCCACGTTACAGCCGTAGGACGGAATCGCTGGTGGGGGCGGTGGCACCGGGCTTGCCCTTGCCCTGCTGCCACTGCTGCTGCTGCTGCTGCTGCCACTGTTGCCACCTGGGCTGCTGCTGTTGTTGCCGCTGTTTATGGTGAAACTTCCGCCATCAGTGGTATCATCTTCATCAGTGGTGGTGCCGGGAGGAGTGGTGGTGCTGGGAGGAGTGGTGGTGCTGGGAGGAGTGGTGGTGGGGGGAGTGGTGGTGCCGGGGGGAGTGGTGGTGCCGGGGGGAGTGTCGTCAGGACCAGCGGCTCTAGGTCGGCTTGAGGTCGCATTCGTGTCCGCTGCATCGGCGAGAGAAGCGATTACTGGCAGAATGAGCAGCACCAGGAGGACCAGCTCGAGGCAGCTGCTCAGAGAAAGACAATGCAAGACACACAGAAAAAGGAAAGAAACAAAGAAATACACTTTGTTTCTATACATGAATTCAATAAATAGAGAAGAACAAGGAATCGCCACGATTCTTTCCACTCGCATAGAGGCGAGTTTTGAAGCGTCTCAAAAGCAGAGGCGAGTTTTGAAGCGTCTCAAAAGCAGAAGCGAGTTTTGAAGCGTCTCAAAAGCAGAAGCGAGTTTTGAAGCGTCTCAGAAGCAGAAGTGAGTTTTGAAGCGTCTCAAAAGCAGAAGCGAGTTTCATACTGACAATTGAAGGACGGAAGCAAGGAAGCAAGCAAGGAAGGGGGAATTTCGTCACCATTGCCTTCAGCAAGCAGACTGTTGCAAACTGCCATGAAAAACGAGGAACGGGCTTGAAGTATGGAGTGACAAACGTACCGTTTCATAGCTTGCTGAGACGAGGAAGCCATGCGCTTCATGTTGACGGTAAGGGGTAGTGAGAAGTGGTGACAATTGGTGTGACGGGGTAAAGAGTGGTGATACGAGGTAAAACGCGGCGAGAGATGGTAACAAATGGTGCGCAGAGGCGTTTCCACTGAACGTCAGATTCGTTGAACGATCGAATCCTCAAACCCGCGAGATGACGCAATCTCAAGTGCCCTATCCGCTGGTTATGGTAGTCCATATTTAAACAACTGAGCTTGGTGACGATTCCTAGAATCTCAGGCAATTTCGTGGACTGAACAGGAGAATAGCACGCGGCTCGAGGAGGTACAGTGAAGGAATGTTTGTAGGGGGAAAAACGAATGGAGCGAGTCAGTCTGCGCCTCAATTAAACTAAATTCACGTCGTTCAGTCCAAGACGCGCTCGTTCAGCATCTCAATTGAGGAGAACGACTTCTCTACAAATACGAGCGAATTGGTTGCGGGTCCTGTGCGATGGAGCATATGTCCTCTTTCAGTTCCATAATCCCAAGGGTCCCTATCTCCCGTGTTTCGTGCTTTTGAATTTCCACAGCCTTGATCATACATGGCTGATTTGAAGTCAAATTTGATCAAGACGCGATTTTCAAAGGCAAAACTCCACCGAAATGAGATGGCGACAGGCAATCAAGCACGGCAAGTTCATGCAGAGTGTCGATTATGTGGACCGCGTGACACGATTGTGTCGCTGCAGCTGTGTCAAGCCGTTGCTGTTTAGTGCTTACATAAAAAAATTACAGAACCGTGCACATTTCTCGTGCTTCATATACGCCCTGGAAAGCTGGGAAGTGCAACCTGCTTGAGGCCCGTATCCCCGGTTTTGTATGCGGCGTTATGGCAACGCCTTTGCAGCACGGAAATCGTATTTCTGTTTTTATTATGCGAAATTGCGGCGGCCCTCTCTCATTGGCAGAGAAGCGCTTGGCCCAAATCGCAGTGCCGGGGCGCGTAACGGTTACTGTAGAGAGTTCTTCCCTGCCGTCGCACCCAATCGCTGTGGAACTTCCAGAAGTTCGTGAACCTCGTGGACTTAGAGAGAGATCCACCCGTCCGTCCATCTCTTGGCAAAAACGGTTGGGAAAAGATCAAATAGGGGCCGAACAATAGCAGGGAGGTGACCGAATTAGGGCCAGGTTGATCCCAACCGTCGGATGATAGATTTTGCGGAACATGTGACTGCTCGTGATAACTACGAAATGTTTTGTGACGGCCCGTATCAAAACCCAATAATAAAACCCGTTCGGAAATGGATGCGACTCGGGAGGCATCAACCCAAAACACCAGGCGGGTTCCCGTGTTTAGGGTTGATCCATCCCGGAAATGCGTCCAGGTTCCCTATTGGTTTTAGTTTTTTTTTAGGCTGTCCTAACATTTCCCGGTAGCGTCGATACCGCCGGTAGCGCTACCTGGCTCGCTAAACGACGCTACCGGATGAAAAAATGATTCATTTACGATATCCTAAGAATATTGAGGTGTGAGCAAAAATGCACGCCATGACGAACCTCTCTGTGAATTCCCCCTCTCCCAGCGGTTTGGTCATTTTCGGGCCTCTCGGCCCCTGGTCGATCACCTCTCTGGCACTGTACGGCCCCTCTTTGATCATTTCCCAAAACGGTTGTTGGTTGGTTCAGCACCAACGACGGAGGTGCCGTATCGTGGCTGTGGCCCGAGGGTCTAAGGGCGCGTCAGACTTCTACACTTTCGGTTCAGTACCTGCGGTGAAGAAAGGTTATGTGCTTTCTAGAGCGGTGTTCTTCTCCACCGCTTTTAACCGTCACCCACCAGTCTGAACAGTGATTCATGAGCTGAAACGAACTCGTATGACACGCCTGATGGGAGGTGACAGACAGGAGGGAGACTGGATGCGGCTGTGAAGAGGAGATGAAGGGAAGGGACACAAAGGCCCCAGGGAACCGGCGTGAGGCATGACAAAGAGAGGCCTGTTGGTGTTGTGGTTGTGGTTGTGGAGCATCCACGATTCCACATGCTAGCCTGGGATGGGAACAAGGGAGATGAAATGAACGACGAGACTTTGGTACAGCATGACATCGCAGTGCAGTTTTGGGATGTCGACTTTGATGCTCTGGCTCGCCCAGGCGCATTTCAAGAGCGGCTGTGAGCTACCAACCGTAACCTCTGACCCTGCTGTACTCAGTTGATACTAATATATGAACGTACTGACTGTAATCTACTCGCATCCATCACTGCAAAGCGGAATCGGTACTAATTCCGTAAGGTTTGCACTGATTCGAGATACCTGTGAAATTCGGTAGGGTGACGTGGAACCTAGACCGAAAGAAATGGTCGTTAGATTACCCGACATGGAAATGCGAGCAAGGAAGTCGGCGGTTGTCAGCGCGACACGACAAGATACATTACATGAGACGGATTCCGTCACGGAAAATCGCGCCGTTAGCGGTGCGCGAGAGCCAGCTTTGGCGACGGCGACGTCCAGAAGTCGACCGCGGCTCGAGCGGCAAGAGCCAGATTTTGACGAGCCGCGAAGCACGGCGGAGGAAGGAAGAGAAAGAGTGAAATTCGTCAATGCGGAGGCGAAATCGTCTTTCGAGAATTCTCAAAACGGACTTGCGAATGGAAAGGAGGGGACGAAACGTGGAACCGATGGGAAGGAGAAAGCGCGATTCACGGATCGTAGCGGGATCCACGGACGAGGGGGAGGGACGGGAGGTGCTTCTAATAGCAAGGCGTTGATTTGCATGGCGCTGCTGGCTCTGCAGTACGGCTTGCAGCCGATTCTCACGAGGAAGCTGCTCAGGTGATGGATGCTTGCGATGCGAGTGAGGTGATGAATGGCGTGATAGGGTAACAATGTAACAGTGTTTCTCCGGTGTATTCAATGGTTTGCATCATGGCGCTACTGGCTCTGCAGTATGGCCTGCAGCCGATTCTCACGAGAAAGCTGCTAAGGTGATGGATGCGTGCGAATGCGGACCGCCTTCCTAATCCCCGTCAGGCGGCGTTGTCTGTTGCTTGGTCCTGCCCCGAATCTCCTTGCCTTTCTTCCCCAACTCTTCTGTCCGTTCTATCCTCAACTGAATCCCCCCCCTCCCCTCCCTCCCTCCCTCCCTCCCTCCCTCCCTCCCTCCCTCCCTCCCTCCCTCCCTCCCTCCCTCCCTCCCTCCCTCCCTCCCTCCCTCCCTCCCTCCCTCCTCCCTCCCTCCTCCCTCCCTCCCTCCCTCCCTCCCTCCCTCCCTCCCTCCCTCCCTCCCTCCCTCCCTCCCTCCCTCCCTCCCTCCCTCCCTCCCTCCCTCCCTCCCTCTCTCCCTCCCTCCCTCTCTCCCTCCCTCCCTCCCTCCCTCCCTCCCTCCCTCCCTCCCTCCCTCCCTCCCTCCCTCCCTCCCTCCCTCCCTCTCTCCCTCCCTCCCTCCCTCTCTCCCTCCCTCCCTCCCTCTCTCCCTCCCTCCCTACCTCTCTCCATCCCTCCCTCCCTCTCTCCCTCCCTCCCTCTCTCCCTCCCTCCCTCCCTCCCTCCCTCCCTCCCTCCCTCCCTCCCTCCCTCCCTCCCTCCCTCCCTCTCTCCCTCCCTCCCTCCCTCTCTCCCTCCCTCCCTCCCTCCCTCTCTCCCTCCCTCCCTCCCTCTCTCCCTCCCTCCCTCCCTCTCTCCCTCCCTCCCTCCCTCCCTCCCTCCCTCTCTCCCTCCCTCCCTCCCTCCCTCCCTCTCTCCCTCCCTCCCTCTCTCCCTCAATCCCTCTCTCCCTCCCTCCCTCCCTCTCTCCCTCCCTCCCTCCCTCCCTCCCTCCCTCTCTCCCTCCCTCCCTCCCTCCCTCCCTCCCTCCCTCCCTCTCTCCCTCAATCCCTCTCTCCCTCAATCCCTCTCTCCCTCAATCCCTCTCTCCCTCCCTCCCCATCCCTCCCGCTGTGCAACTCCCATCCCTCGTTCCGAAACCAACAGTCGTGACGTGCTGATATCGAGTCAGGTCATCACCTGCGAAGTCCTCAAGGTGAGCACCCCCGCCTCTAGAGCCCCCGTCACTCCTCAAATGGCTTCCCCTCCCACTCGATAAAACATTTTCCCACCTCTTCCCCGTACCACCCCCACACAGCCACTCTTTCGCTTCCTCGCATTCTGAATTCCCTCGTTCTCCTTGACCAATCATTGCCACGCACCCTCACTCCGCACCGCCAGACTCTTTCCATAACCCCCCCCCATTTCCTACAGGTCATTTACTGTACTAAAGTTCCTCCTGGCGCTCATCATTGTATTTTCCACCCGTGAAATGCCATCATCATCCCTCTCCCACCACCCCCTCCTGCCTCCCCCTTCCCCACCCACCCCTTTCCAGCCATGTTTCTCGGCGGCTCTCTCTTCACCGTTTGACGCCACTGGTGCACCTTTTTATGCTCGCACATGCTCCCATTGCCTCTGCATACATTCTGCTGTCCTCTTTTCCCTTCCCCCCGATTTCTTCCTCTCCCATCCACACCACACGCAGGTCCTCATAGCCCTCACAGACGTCTGCTCATAGCCCTAACAGACGTCTGCTCATAGCCCTAACAGACGTCTGCTCATAGCCCTAACAGACGTCTGCTCATAGCCCTAACAGACGTCTGCTCATAGCCCTAACAGACGTCTGCTCATAGCCCTAACAGACGTCTGCTCATAGCCCTAACAGACGTCTGCTCATAGCCCTAACAGACGTCTGCTCATAGCCCTAACAGACGTCTGCTCATAGCCCTAACAGACGTCTGCTCATAGCCCTAACAGACGTCTGCTCATAGCCCTAACAGACGTCTGCTCATAGCCCCAACAGACATCTGCTCATAGCCCTAACAGACATCTGCTCATAGCCCCAACAGACATCTGCTCATAGCCCCAACAGACATCTGCTCATAGCCCTCACAGACGTCTGCTCATAGCCCCAACAGACGTCTGCTCATAGCCCTAACAGACGTCTGCTCATAGCCCCAACAGACGTCTGCTCATAGCCCTAACAGACGTCTGCTCATAGCCCTAACAGACGTCTGCTCATAGCCCTAACAGACGTCTGCTCATAGCCCTAACAGACGTCTGCTCATAGCCCTAACAGACGTCTGCTCATAGCCTTAACAGACGTCTGCTCATAGCCCTAACAGACGTCTGCTCATAGCCCTAACAGACGTCTGCTCATAGCCCTAACAGACGTCTGCTCATAGCCCTAACAGACGTCTGCTCATAGCCCTAACAGACGTCTGCTCATAGCCCTAACAGACGTCTGCTCATAGCCCTAACAGACGTCTGCTCATAGCCCTAACAGACGTCTGCTCATAGCCCTAACAGACGTCTGCTCATAGCCCTAACAGACGTCTGCTCATAGCCCCAACAGACGTCTGCTCATAGCCCTAACAGACGTCTGCTCATAGCCCCAACAGACGTCTGCTCATAGCCCTAACAGACGTCTGCTCATAGCCCTAACAGACGTCTGCTCATAGCCCTAACAGACGTCTGCTCATAGCCCCAACAGACATCTGCTCATAGCCCCGATTTCTTCCTAGACGGCTCTCTCTCTTCACCGTTTGGCGCAACTGGCACCACAAGTCACCCGTGCATTGACATCACCCGTCCCCCACTACCCTTCCACCACGCCACACGCAGGTTCTCATAGCCCTCAGAGCCATGTTCCTGGACGGCTCTCTCTTCACCGTCTGGCGCAACTGGCACCTGCTGGACTCGTTAGAAGCTGCTGCGGTACCAGGCCTGCTGTACGCCGCCCAGAACACGCTCATTCAGGTGGCCCTGCGCCACCTGGACTACCTGACGTTCAACCTGCTGAACCAGACGAAACTCCTCTTCACCGCTCTCTCCAACTATCTGTTTCTAAGGTAAGAGTGAGGATGCAGTACAGTGGGAAAGAGGTGGAAAGGGAGTCACTTCATTCAGAACACGCTCATCCAAGTAGCCCTGCACCACCTGGACTACCTGACGTTCAACCTGCTGAACCAGACGAAGCTGCTCTTCACCGCCCTCTCCAACTACCTGCTCCTTAGGTGGGAGGAAATGAGGTGAAATAGGCCATCTGGACTATCTCACGTTCGACCTGCTGAACCAGAGAAACCTTCTGCTCACAGCCCTCTTCAACTACCTGTTACTCAGGTAAGAGGGAACGAAGAAGGGTGGGAAGAGGTGAGAAGAGGTGGGAAGAGGTGAGAAGATGTGAGAAGAGGTGAGAAGAGGTGAGAAGAGAGAGATTAAGCCATCTGGACCACCTGACCTTCAACCTGCTGAATCAGACAAAGCTTCTGTTCACGGCTTTCTCCAACTATCTGTTTCTAAGGTGAGAAGGAACGTGGTGAGGTGTGAAAGGGGCTTCCTCATTCAGAACACGCTCATCCAGGCAGCCTTGCGTCACCTGCCTGGTGGACTATCTCACCTTCAACCTGCTGAACCAGACGAAGCTTCTTTTCTCGGACCTGTCCAACTACTTCTTTCTCGGGTAAGAAGGAATGAGTGAAGGTGGGAAAGAGGTGATAATCCGCCAGACCCGACTGCAAAGCATCGCTCTCTGCCTGCTGCTCGTCGCTGCGAGGGAAGAAACGGAGTGAGAGCAAACGAACGACCGTTGTTCCTTCCCACCCTCTCAACCTATTCCTCTGAACCTTTTCCCCTCCTGTCTTGTCTCACTTCTCATCACAGAATCCGCCAGACCCGGGTGCAGATCGTCGCCCTCTGCATGCTGCTCGTCGCCGCCACGCTACTCACCCTCAGCCCAGGCCCTGCTTCTGGTCCGGGGCCTAAACCTAACCAGACTCATGGAGCGAGTGCAGCAGGGGAGGCGCCGTCTGTGACTGCTGGCGCGGCTGCTACTGCTGCTGCGCGGCGGCCATTGTCCCTTCCCTCCCACCATCTCAACCTTTTCCCCGCTTGTCTCCTCTCTCCCCTCACCACAGAATTCGCCAAACCCGGGTGCAGATCGTCGCCCTCTGCATGCTGCTCGTCGCCGCCACGCTACTCACCCTCAGCCCTGACCCTGCTTCTGGTCCGGGGCCTAAACCTGGCCAGACTCACGGAGCGAGTGCAGCAGGGGAGGCGCCGCCATCTATGGCTGCTGGCGCGGCTGCCACTGCTGCTGCGGCGGCGGCTGTTGTGGCAGCAGGCGTTGCATGGGAGAGAGTAGCACTGGGAGTGGTGCCGGTGCTGGTGGCGTCTGTGACCTCTGGGCTGGGATCGACCCACAACCAGTGGCAAGTGCAGGTGCGTGTGCGTGTGTCTTTGGGCCGGGTTGTGCTGCTGCTGGCGCTTCTGCTACTGCTGCCACTGCTGCTGCAGCGGCGGCTGTTGTGGCAGCAGGCGTGGCATGGGAGAGAGTGGCGCTGGGAGTGCTGCCGGTGCTGGTGGCGTCGGTGACGTCTGGGCTGGGATCAACGCACAACCAGTGGCAAGTGCAGGTGCATGCACGTGTGTGCGTGGGGGGTGCTGTGGCTGCGGGTGTGTCTACTGCTGCTGCTGCGGGTGCAAGCGTGGCATGGGAGAGAGTGGCGCTGGGAGTGGTGCCGGTGCTGGTGGCGTCTGTGACCTCTGGGCTGGGATCAACGCACTACCAGTGGCAAGTGCAGGTGCGTGGGGGGTGGTGTGGTGGTATTGTCTTGTCCTGGCGTGTCATCATTCAGCTCTTTCCCCTTCTTTCCCCTTGTCTCGTCTTGTCTCGTCTGGTCTCGTCTGGTCTCGTCTGGTCTTGTCTTGGTGCAGGTCAAGAGGCGCTGCCCCCATCTATTCACCATCGAGATGTGTTCCCTCACGTCCCTCGTCCTGCTCGTCTCTCTCTTCACTTCCCAAGACGGCGCCCGCATGTTGCAACTCGGCTTCTTCCACGCATGGACGCCACTCACCATCGTAAGAAGCATCAAGTCGTGCTTGCTCCCCTTTCTTGCCACTGTGCGTGCACCATCATGCATGCACATCACTGTTCCTATCCTCTCCTTCCAAGACGCTGCTGCTCGCATGTTGCGCCCCGGCTCCTTCCACGCCTGGACGCCCCTCGCCATAATGAGTCAGCATGCATTCATCCTGCCAATCGCGACTCTGACTCACTACTGTGCGCTGTGTAGTTTGAGGCGCCTCAAAATACACCTCAATGCATTCATCCTGCCATGCCAATCGCGACTCTGACTCACTACTGTGCGCCGTGCGGTGCTATCACTGCTCCCCGTCTCCCTCCTCTCCTCCCAGGACTTCTCTCGCATGCGAGTGGAACCCCACCCATTCCCACTTTCAACTGTTGAGGCGCCTCAAAACTCAAACTTCGATCGCATGGGAGCTGAACCCTGCCCATTCTCAATATCGCTATACCCCCAACCCCCCAGATTCCAGCTCGGTCAAACGCCATAGAGGGCACCCTCGTAGGCCTTGTGCACAAGCATGCCTTTTCCTGCCCACCCCTACCCTTATCCTCGCTTCCGCTCTAACCCCACCCCTATCCCACCTCATCGTCACCCGCCAGATTCCAGCTCAGTCAAACGCCATAGGGGGCATCCTCGTGGGGCTTGTGACCAAATATGCCTTCTACTGCTCACCCCTACCCCAACCCCCACACACACCCCCTTCTCCCCCCCCCACAACCCCAACCCCACGCCCCACCCCACCCCCCAGATTCCAGCTCTATCAAACGCCATAGGAGGCATTCTTGTGGGGCTTGTGACCAAATATGCAGGGGGCGTTAAGAAGGTATGCTGGGGGAGGGGATAGGTGGTGGAGGCGGGGCGGGTGTCATAAGAGGGTTCACTGGGTTGTGGGGATTTCTTTCCTACTGTATTCATGCCACCATAATAGTCTAGGATCTTTCATACAAAGCCATAGAACCAGCCCATCCAGACGGTCTGCTGGTAACCGCCATACTGCAGTATGCTCTCGACTCTACGGCATGGCGGTCTGCTGGTAACCTCCGGTCTGCTGGTAACCGGCACGCCTCTCCCCATGCCGCTCTCCCCATGCTGCTCTCCCCATGCCGCTCTCCCCATGCCGCTCTCCCCATGCTGCTCTCCCCATGCCGCTCTCCCCATGCCGCTCTCCCCATGCCGCTCTCCCCATGCCGCTCTCCCCATGCCGCTCTCCCCATGCCGCTCTCCCCATGCTGCTCTCCCCATGCCGCTCTCCCCATGCCGCTCTCCCCATGCTGCTCTCCCCATGCTGCTCTCCCCATGCCGCTCTCCCCATGCTGCTCTCCCCATGCTGCTCTCCCCATGCTGCTCTCCCCATGCTGCTCTCCCCATGCCGCTCTCCCCATGCCGCTCTCCCCATGCCGCTCTCCCCATGCCGCTCTCCCCATGCCGCTCTCCCCATGCTGCTCTCCCCATGCTGCTCTCCCCATGCCGCTCTCCCCATGCCGCTCTCCCCATGCCGCTCTCCCCATGCTGCTCTCCCCATGCTGCTCTCCCCATGCCGCTCTCCCCATGCCGCTCTCCCCATGCCGCTCTCCCCATGCCGCTCTCCCCATGCCGCTCTCCCCATGCCGCTCTCCCCATGCCGCTCTCCCCATGCCGCTCTCCCCATGCCGCTCTCCCCATGCCGCTCTCCCCATGCCGCTCTCCCCATGCCGCTCTCCCCATGCCGCTCTCCCCATGCCGCTCTCCCCATGCCGCTCTCCCCATGCCGCTCTCCCCATGCCGCTCTCCCCATGCCGCTCTCCCCATGCCGCTCTCCCCATGCTGCTCTCCCCATGCCGCTCTCCCCATGCCGCTCTCCCCATGCCGCTCTCCCCATGCCGCTCTCCCCATGCTGCTCTCCCCATGCTGCTCTCCCCATGCCGCTCTCCCCATGCCGCTCTCCCCATGCCGCTCTCCCCATGCTGCTCTCCCCATGCTGCTCTCCCCATGCCGCTCTCCCCATGCCGCTCTCCCCATGCCGCTCTCCCCATGCCGCTCTCCCCATGCGGCTCTCCCCATGCTGCTCTCCCCATGCCGCTCTCCCCATGCCGCTCTCCCCATGCCGCTCTCCCCATGCCGCTCTCCCCATGCTGCTCTCCCCATGCTGCTCTCCCCATGCCGCTCTCCCCATGCCGCTCTCCCCATGCCGCTCTCCCCATGCCGCTCTCCCCATACCGCTCTCCCCATGCCGCTCTCCCCATGCCGCTCTCCCCATGCCGCTCTCCCCATGCCGCTCTCCCCATGCCGCTCTCCCCATGCCGCTCTCCCCATGCCGCTCTCCCCATGCTGCTCTCCCCATGCTGCTCTCCCCATGCCGCTCTCCCCATGCTGCTCTCCCCATGCTGCTCTCCCCATGCTGCTCTCCCCATGCTGCTCTCCCCATGCCGCTCTCCCCATGCCGCTCTCCCCATGCCGCTCTCCCCATGCCGCTCTCCCCATGCCGCTCTCCCCATGCCGCTCTCCCCATGCTGCTCTCCCCATGCCGCTCTCCCCATGCCGCTCTCCCCATGCCGCTCTCCCCATGCCGCTCTCCCCATGCCGCTCTCCCCATGCTGCTCTCCCCATGCTGCTCTCCCCATGCCGCTCTCCCCATGCTGCTCTCCCCATGCTGCTCTCCCCATGCTGCTCTCCCCATGCTGCTCTCCCCATGCTGCTCTCCCCATGCTGCTCTCCCCATGCCGCTGTCCCCATGCCGCTCTCCCCATGCCGCTCTCCCCATGCTGCTCTCCCCATGCCGCTCTCCCCATGCCGCTCTCCCCATGCCGCTCTCCCCATGCTGCTCTCCCCATGCTGCTCTCCCCATGCTGCTCTCCCCATGCTGCTCTCCCCATGCCGCTCTCCCCATGCCGCTCTCCCCATGCCGCTCTCCCCATGCCGCTCTCCCCATGCCGCTCTCCCCATGCCGCTCTCCCCATGCGCTCTCCCCATGCTGCTCTCCCCATGCTGCTCTCCCCATGCCGCTCTCCCCATGCCGCTCTCCCCATGCCGCTCTCCCCATGCTGCTCTCCCCATGCCGCTCTCCCCATGCCGCTCTCCCCATGCCGCTCTCCCCATGCCGCTCTCCCCATGCCGCTCTCCCCATGCCGCTCTCCCCATGCCGCTCTCCCCATGCCGCTCTCCCCATGCCGCTCTCCCCATGCCGCTCTCCCCATGCCGCTCTCCCCATGCTGCTCTCCCCATGCTGCTCTCCCCATGCCGCTCTCCCCATGCTGCTCTCCCCATGCTGCTCTCCCCATGCTGCTCTCCCCATGCTGCTCTCCCCATGCCGCTCTCCCCATGCCGCTCTCCCCATGCCGCTCTCCCCATGCCGCTCTCCCCATGCCGCTCTCCCCATGCTGCTCTCCCCATGCCGCTCTCCCCATGCCGCTCTCCCCATGCCGCTCTCCCCATGCCGCTCTCCCCATGCCGCTCTCCCCATGCTGCTCTCCCCATGCTGCTCTCCCCATGCCGCTCTCCCCATGCTGCTCTCCCCATGCTGCTCTCCCCATGCTGCTCTCCCCATGCTGCTCTCCCCATGCTGCTCTCCCCATGCTGCTCTCCCCATGCCGCTGTCCCCATGCCGCTCTCCCCATGCCGCTCTCCCCATGCTGCTCTCCCCATGCCGCTCTCCCCATGCCGCTCTCCCCATGCCGCTCTCCCCATGCTGCTCTCCCCATGCTGCTCTCCCCATGCTGCTCTCCCCATGCCGCTCTCCCCATGCCGCTCTCCCCATGCCGCTCTCCCCATGCCGCTCTCCCCATGCCGCTCTCCCCATGCCGCTCTCCCCATGCCGCTCTCCCCATGCCGCTCTCCCCATGCCGCTCTCCCCATGCCGCTCTCCCCATGCCGCTCTCCCCATGCCGCTCTCCCCATGCCGCTCTCCCCATGCCGCTCTCCCCATGCCGCTCTCCCCATGCCGCTCTCCCCATGCCGCTCTCCCCATGCCGCTCTCCCCATGCCGCTCTCCCCATGCCGCTCTCCCCATGCCGCTCTCCCCATGCCGCTCTCCCCATGCTGCTCTCCCCATGCTGCTCTCCCCATGCTGCTCTCCCCATGCCGCTCTCCCCATGCCGCTCTCCCCATGCCGCTCTCCCCATGCCGCTCTCCCCATGCTGCTCTCCCCATGCTGCTCTCCCCATGCTGCTCTCCCCATGCTGCTCTCCCCATGCCGCTCTCCCCATGCCGCTCTCCCCATGCCGCTCTCCCCATGCTGCTCTCCCCATGCCGCTCTCCCCATGCCGCTCTCCCCATGCTGCTCTCCCCATGCTGCTCTCCCCATGCTGCTCTCCCCATGCTGCTCTCCCCATGCTGCTCTCCCCATGCCGCTCTCCCCATGCCGCTCTCCCCATGCTGCTCTCCCCATGCTGCTCTCCCCATGCTGCTCTCCCCATGCTGCTCTCCCCATGCTGCTCTCCCCATGCTGCTCTCCCCATGCTGCTCTCCCCATGCCGCTCTCCCCATGCTGCTCTCCCCATGCTGCTCTCCCCATGCCGCTCTCCCCATGCCGCTCTCCCCATGCTGCTCTCCCCATGCCGCTCTCCCCATGCTGCTCTCCCCATGCTGCTCTCCCCATGCTGCTCTCCCCATGCTGCTCTCCCCATGCTGCTCTCCCCATGCCGCTCTCCCCATGCCGCTCTCCCCATGCTGCTCTCCCCATGCCGCTCTCCCCATGCCGCTCTCCCCATGCCGCTCTCCCCATGCCGCTCTCCCCATGCTGCTCTCCCCATGCCGCTCTCCCCATGCTGCTCTCCCCATGCTGCTCTCCCCATGCTGCTCTCCCCATGCCGCTCTCCCCATGCCGCTCTCCCCATGCTGCTCTCCCCATGCTGCTCTCCCCATGCTGCTCTCCCCATGCCGCTCTCCCCATGCTGCTCTCCCCATGCCGCTCTCCCCATGCCGCTCTCCCCATGCTGCTCTCCCCATGCTGCTCTCCCCATGCTGCTCTCCCCATGCCGCTCTCCCCATGCTGCTCTCCCCATGCCGCTCTCCCCATGCTGCTCTCCCCATGCCGCTCTCCCCATGCCGCTCTCCCCATGCCGCTCTCCCCATGCCGCTCTCCCCATGCTGCTCTCCCCATGCCGCTCTCCCCATGCCGCTCTCCCCATGCTGCTCTCCCCATGCTGCTCTCCCCATGCTGCTCTCCCCATGCTGCTCTCCCCATGCTGCTCTCCCCATGCCGCTCTCCCCATGCTGCTCTCCCCATGCCGCTCTCCCCATGCTGCTCTCCCCATGCCGCTCTCCCCATGCCGCTCTCCCCATGCTGCTCTCCCCATGCCGCTCTCCCCATGCCGCTCTCCCCATGCTGCTCTCCCCATGCTGCTCTCCCCATGCTGCTCTCCCCATGCCGCTCTCCCCATGCTGCTCTCCCCATGCCGCTCTCCCCATGCCGCTCTCCCCATGCCGCTCTCCCCATGCTGCTCTCCCCATGCCGCTCTCCCCATGCCGCTCTCCCCATGCTGCTCTCCCCATGCTGCTCTCCCCATGCTGCTCTCCCCATCCTGCTCTCCCCATGCTGCTCTCCCCATGCCGCTCTCCCCATGCCGCTCTCCCCATGCTGCTCTCCCCATGCTGCTCTCCCCATGCTGCTCTCCCCATGCTGCTCTCCCCATGCCGCTCTCCCCATGCCGCTCTCCCCATGCTGCTCTCCCCATGCCGCTCTCCCCATGCCGCTCTCCCCATGCTGCTCTCCCCATGCTGCTCTCCCCATGCTGCTCTCCCCATGCCGCTCTCCCCATGCCGCTCTCCCCATGCCGCTCTCCCCATGCTGCTCTCCCCATGCTGCTCTCCCCATGCCGCTCTCCCCATGCCGTTCTCCCCATGCTGCTCTCCCCATGCCGCTCTCCCCATGCTGCTCTCCCCATGCTGCTCTCCCCATGCTGCTCTCCCCATGCCGCTCTCCCCATGCCGCTCTCCCCATGCTGCTCTCCCCATGCTGCTCTCCCCATGCCGCTCTCCCCATGCCGCTCTCCCCATGCCGCTCTCCCCATGCTGCTCTCCCCATGCCGCTCTCCCCATGCCGCTCTCTCCATGCTGCTCTCCCCATGCTGCTCTCCCCATGCTGCTCTCCCCATGCTGCTCTCCCCATGCTGCTCTCCCCATGACGCTCTCCCCATGCCGCTCTCCCCATGCCGCTCTCCCCATGCCGCTCTCCCCATGCCGCTCTCCCCATGCCGCTCTCCCCATGCCGCTCTCCCCATGCTGCTCTCCCCATGCCGCTCTCCCCATGCTGCTCTCCCCATGCCGCTCTCCCCATGCCGCTCTCCCCATGCCGCTCTCCCCATGCTGCTCTCCCCATGCTGCTCTCCCCATGCTGCTCTCCCCATGCCGCTCTCCCCATGCTGCTCTCCCCATGCCGCTCTCCCCATGCTGCTCTCCCCATGCTGCTCTCCCCATGCCGCTCTCCCCATGCCGCTCTCCCCATGCCGCTCTCCCCATGCCGCTCTCCCCATGCTGCTCTCCCCATGCCGCTCTCCCCATGCCGCTCTCCCCATGCTGCTCTCCCCATGCTGCTCTCCCCATGCCGCTCTCCCCATGCCGCTCTCCCCATGCTGCTCTCCCCATGCCGCTCTCCCCATGCTGCTCTCCCCATGCCGCTCTCCCCATGCCGCTCTCCCCATGCCGCTCTCCCCATGCCGCTCTCCCCATGCTGCTCTCCCCATGCTGCTCTCCCCATGCTGCTCTCCCCATGCTGCTCTCCCCATGCTGCTCTCCCCATGCCGCTCTCCCCATGCTGCTCTCCCCATGCTGCTCTCCCCATGCTGCTCTCCCCATGCTGCTCTCCCCATGCTGCTCTCCCCATGCCGCTCTCCCCATGCTGCTCTCCCCATGCTGCTCTCCCCATGCCGCTCTCCCCATGCCGCTCTCCCCATGCCGCTCTCCCCATGCTGCTCTCCCCATGCCGCTCTCCCCATGCTGCTCTCCCCGTGCTGCTCTCCCCGTGCCGCTCTCCCCATGCCGCTCTCCCCATGCTGCTCTCCCCATGCCGCTCTCCCCATGCCGCTCTCCCCATGCCGCTCTCCCCATGCCGCTCTCCCCATGCTGCTCTCCCCATGCTGCTCTCCCCATGCCGCTCTCCCCATGCCGCTCTCCCCATGCTGCTCTCCCCATGCCGCTCTCCCCATGCCGCTCTCCCCATGCCGCTCTCCCCATGCCGCTCTCCCCATGCTGCTCTCCCCATGCTGCTCTCCCCATGCCGCTCTCCCCATGCTGCTCTCCCCATGCTGCTCTCCCCATGCCGCTCTCCCCATGCCGCTCTCCCCATGCTGCTCTCCCCATGCTGCTCTCCCCATGCTGCTCTCCCCATGCCGCTCTCCCCATGCCGCTCTCCCCATGCTGCTCTCCCCATGCTGCTCTCCCCATGCTGCTCTCCCCATGCCGCTCTCCCCATGCCGCTCTCCCCATGCTGCTCTCCCCATGCCGCTCTCCCCATGCCGCTCTCTCCATGCTGCTCTCCCCATGCCGCTCTCCCCATGCCGCTCTCCCCATGCTGCTCTCCCCATGCTGCTCTCCCCATGCCGCTCTCCCCATGCCGCTCTCCCCATGCTGCTCTCTCCATGCCGCTCTCCCCATGCTGCTCTCCCCATGCTGCTCTCCCCATGCTGCTCTCCCCATGCTGCTCTCCCCATGCCGCTCTCCCCATGCCGCTCTCCCCATGCCGCTCTCCCCATGCCGCTCTCCCCATGCCGCTCTCCCCATGCCGCTCTCCCCATGCCGCTCTCCCCATGCCGCTCTCCCCATGCTGCTCTCCCCATGCTGCTCTCCCCATGCTGCTCTCCCCATGCTGCTCTCCCCATGCTGCTCTCCCCATGCTGCTCTCCCCATGCTGCTCTCCCCATGCTGCTCTCCCCATGCCGCTCTCCCCATGCTGCTCTCCCCATGCTGCTCTCCCCATGCCGCTCTCCCCATGCCGCTCTCCCCATGCTGCTCTCCCCATGCCGCTCTCCCCATGCTGCTCTCCCCATGCCGCTCTCCCCATGCTGCTCTCCCCATGCCGCTCTCCCCATGCTGCTCTCCCCATGCTGCTCTCCCCATGCTGCTCTCCCCATGCCGCTCTCCCCATGCCGCTCTCCCCATGCCGCTCTCCCCATGCTGCTCTCCCCATGCCGCTCTCCCCATGCCGCTCTCCCCATGCTGCTCTCCCCATGCTGCTCTCCCCATGCTGCTCTCCCCATGCCGCTCTCCCCATGCTGCTCTCCCCATGCCGCTCTCCCCATGCTGCTCTCCCCATGCCGCTCTCCCCATGCTGCTCTCCCCATGCTGCTCTCCCCATGCCGCTCTCCCCATGCCGCTCTCCCCATGCCGCTCTCCCCATGCCGCTCTCCCCATGCCGCTCTCCCCATGCCGCTCTCCCCATGCCGCTCTCCCCATGCCGCTCTCCCCATGCCGCTCTCCCCATGCCGCTCTCCCCATGCCGCTCTCCCCATGCCGCTCTCCCCATGCCGCTCTCCCCATGCTGCTCTCCCCATGCTGCTCTCCCATGCTGCTCTCCCATGCCGCTCTCCCCATGCTGCTCTCCCCATGCTGCTCTCCCCATGCTGCTCTCCCCATGCTGCTCTCCCCATGCTGCTCTCCCCATGCTGCTCTCCCCATGCTGCTCTCCCCATGCTGCTCTCCCCATGCTGCTCTCCCCATGCCGCTCTCCCCATGCTGCTCTCCCCATGCTGCTCTCCCCATGCTGCTCTCCCCATGCTGCTCTCCCCATGCTGCTCTCCCCATGCCGCTCTCCCCATGCCGCTCTCCCCATGCCGCTCTCCCCATGCTGCTCTCCCCATGCTGCTCTCCCCATGCTGCTCTCCCCATGCTGCTCTCCCCATGCTGCTCTCCCCATGCCGCTCTCCCCATGCTGCTCTCCCCATGCTGCTCTCCCCATGCTGCTCTCCCCATGCTGCTCTCCCATGCCGCTCTCCCCATGCCGCTCTCCCCATGCTGCTCTCCCCATGCTGCTCTCCCCATGCTGCTCTCCCCATGCCGCTCTCCCCATGCTGCTCTCCCCATGCTGCTCTCCCCATGCTGCTCTCCCCATGCTGCTCTCCCCATGCCGCTCTCCCCATGCCGCTCTCCCCATGCCGCTCTCCCCATGCCGCTCTCCCCATGCTGCTCTCCCCATGCCGCTCTCCCCATGCTGCTCTCCCCATGCTGCTCTCCCCATGCTGCTCTCCCCATGCTGCTCTCCCCATGCTGCTCTCCCCATGCTGCTCTCCCCATGCTGCTCTCCCCATGCTGCTCTCCCCATGCCGCTCTCCCCATGCCGCTCTCCCCATGCCGCTCTCCCCATGCCGCTCTCCCCATGCCGCTCTCCCCATGCTGCTCTCCCCATGCCGCTCTCCCCATGCTGCTCTCCCCATGCTGCTCTCCCCATGCCGCTCTCCCCATGCTGCTCTCCCCATGCCGCTCTCCCCATGCCGCTCTCCCCATGCTGCTCTCCCCATGCCGCTCTCCCCATGCTGCTCTCCCCATGCTGCTCTCCCCATGCTGCTCTCCCCATGCTGCTCTCCCCATGCTGCTCTCCCCATGCCGCTCTCCCCATGCCGCTCTCCCCATGCTGCTCTCCCCATGCCGCTCTCCCCATGCTGCTCTCCCCATGCCGCTCTCCCCATGCTGCTCTCCCCATGCTGCTCTCCCCATGCTGCTCTCCCCATGCTGCTCTCCCCATGCTGCTCTCCCCATGCTGCTCTCCCCATGCTGCTCTCCCCATGCTGCTCTCCCCATGCTGCTCTCCCCATGCTGCTCTCCCCATGCTGCTCTCCCCATGCCGCTCTCCCCATGCCGCTCTCCCCATGCTGCTCTCCCCATGCCGCTCTCCCCATGCTGCTCTCCCCATGCTGCTCTCCCCATGCTGCTCTCCCCATGCCGCTCTCCCCATGCTGCTCTCCCCATGCTGCTCTCCCCATGCCGCTCTCCCCATGCTGCTCTCCCCATGCCGCTCTCCCCATGCCGCTCTCCCCATGCCGCTCTCCCCATGCCGCTCTCCCCATGCCGCTCTCCCCATGCCGCTCTCCCCATGCCGCTCTCCCCATGCCGCTCTCCCCATGCTGCTCTCCCCATGCTGCTCTCCCCATGCTGCTCTCCCCATGCTGCTCTCCCCATGCCGCTCTCCCCATGCTGCTCTCCCCATGCCGCTCTCCCCATGCTGCTCTCCCCATGCTGCTCTCCCCATGCTGCTCTCCCCATGCCGCTCTCCCCATGCCGCTCTCCCCATGCCGCTCTCCCCATGCTGCTCTCCCCATGCTGCTCTCCCCATGCTGCTCTCCCCATGCCGCTCTCCCCATGCCGCTCTCCCCATGCCGCTCTCCCCATGCTGCTCTCCCCATGCCGCTCTCCCCATGCTGCTCTCCCCATGCCGCTCTCCCCATGCTGCTCTCCCCATGCCGCTCTCCCCATGCCGCTCTCCCCATGCCGCTCTCCCCATGCCGCTCTCCCCATGCCGCTCTCCCCATGCCGCTCTCCCCATGCTGCTCTCCCCATGCTGCTCTCCCCATGCCGCTCTCCCCATGCCGCTCTCCCCATGCCGCTCTCCCCATGCCGCTCTCCCCATGCTGCTCTCCCCATGCCGCTCTCCCCATGCTGCTCTCCCCATGCCGCTCTCCCCATGCCGCTCTCCCCATGCCGCTCTCCCCATGCCGCTCTCCCCATGCCGCTCTCCCCATGCTGCTCTCCCCATGCTGCTCTCCCCATGCTGCTCTCCCCATGCTGCTCTCCCCATGCTGCTCTCCCCATGCCGCTCTCCCCATGCCGCTCTCCCCATGCCGCTCTCCCCATGCCGCTCTCCCCATGCCGCTCTCCCCATGCCGCTCTCCCCATGCTGCTCTCCCCATGCCGCTCTCCCCATGCTGCTCTCCCCATGCCGCTCTCCCCATGCCGCTCTCCCCATGCTGCTCTCCCCATGCCGCTCTCCCCATGCCGCTCTCCCCATGCCGCTCTCCCCATGCTGCTCTCCCCATGCTGCTCTCCCCATGCTGCTCTCCCCATGCTGCTCTCCCCATGCTGCTCTCCCCATGCTGCTCTCCCCATGCCGCTCTCCCCATGCCGCTCTCCCCATGCCGCTCTCCCCATGCTGCTCTCCCCATGCTGCTCTCCCCATGCCGCTCTCCCCATGCTGCTCTCCCCATGCTGCTCTCCCCATGCTGCTCTCCCCATGCCGCTCTCCCCATGCCGCTCTCCCCATGCCGCTCTCCCCATGCTGCTCTCCCCATGCCGCTCTCCCCATGCCGCTCTCCCCATGCTGCTCTCCCCATGCCGCTCTCCCCATGCCGCTCTCCCCATGCTGCTCTCCCCATGCCGCTCTCCCCATGCCGCTCTCCCCATGCCGCTCTCCCCATGCTGCTCTCCCCATGCCGCTCTCCCCATGCCGCTCTCCCCATGCTGCTCTCCCCATGCTGCTCTCCCCATGCCGCTCTCCCCATGCCGCTCTCCCCATGCTGCTCTCCCCATGCCGCTCTCCCCATGCTGCTCTCCCCATGCTGCTCTCCCCATGCTGCTCTCCCCATGCCGCTCTCCCCATGCTGCTCTCCCCATGCTGCTCTCCCCATGCCGCTCTCCCCATGCTGCTCTCCCCATGCCGCTCTCCCCATGCCGCTCTCCCCATGCCGCTCTCCCCATGCTGCTCTCCCCATGCTGCTCTCCCCATGCTGCTCTCCCCATGCCGCTCTCCCCATGCCGCTCTCCCCATGCCGCTCTCCCCATGCTGCTCTCCCCATGCTGCTCTCCCCATGCCGCTCTCCCCATGCCGCTCTCCCCATGCTGCTCTCCCCATGCCGCTCTCCCCATGCTGCTCTCCCCATGCTGCTCTCCCCATGCCGCTCTCCCCATGCCGCTCTCCCCATGCCGCTCTCCCCATGCTGCTCTCCCCATGCTGCTCTCCCCATGCTGCTCTCCCCATGCTGCTCTCCCCATGCTGCTCTCCCCATGCTGCTCTCCCCATGCCGCTCTCCCCATGCTGCTCTCCCCATGCTGCTCTCCCCATGCTGCTCTCCCCATGCTGCTCTCCCCATGCTGCTCTCCCCATGCTGCTCTCCCCATGCTGCTCTCCCCATGCCGCTCTCCCCATGCCGCTCTCCCCATGCTGCTCTCCCCATGCTGCTCTCCCCATGCTGCTCTCCCCATGCTGCTCTCCCCATGCTGCTCTCCCCATGCCGCTCTCCCCATGCTGCTCTCCCCATGCTGCTCTCCCCATGCCGCTCTCCCCATGCTGCTCTCCCCATGCCGCTCTCCCCATGCCGCTCTCCCCATGCCGCTCTCCCCATGCTGCTCTCCCCATGCTGCTCTCCCCATGCCGCTCTCCCCATGCCGCTCTCCCCATGCCGCTCTCCCCATGCTGCTCTCCCCATGCTGCTCTCCCCATGCTGCTCTCCCCATGCTGCTCTCCCCATGCTGCTCTCCCATGCCGCTCTCCCCATGCTGCTCTCCCCATGCTGCTCTCCCCATGCCGCTCTCCCCATGCTGCTCTCCCCATGCCGCTCTCCCCATGCCGCTCTCCCCATGCTGCTCTCCCCATGCTGCTCTCCCCATGCTGCTCTCCCCATGCCGCTCTCCCCATGCCGCTCTCCCCATGCTGCTCTCCCCATGCTGCTCTCCCCATGCTGCTCTCCCCATGCCGCTCTCCCCATGCTGCTCTCCCCATGCCGCTCTCCCCATGCCGCTCTCCCCATGCCGCTCTCCCCATGCTGCTCTCCCCATGCCGCTCTCCCCATGCCGCTCTCCCCATGCCGCTCTCCCCATGCTGCTCTCCCCATGCTGCTCTCCCCATGCTGCTCTCCCCATGCCGCTCTCCCCATGCCGCTCTCCCCATGCCGCTCTCCCCATGCCGCTCTCCCCATGCCGCTCTCCCCATGCTGCTCTCCCCATGCCGCTCTCCCCATGCCGCTCTCCCCATGCCGCTCTCCCCATGCCGCTCTCCCCATGCTGCTCTCCCCATGCTGCTCTCCCCATGCTGCTCTCCCCATGCCGCTCTCCCCATGCCGCTCTCCCCATGCTGCTCTCCCCATGCTGCTCTCCCCATGCCGCTCTCCCCATGCTGCTCTCCCCATGCTGCTCTCCCCATGCTGCTCTCCCCATGCTGCTCTCCCCATGCTGCTCTCCCCATGCTGCTCTCCCCATGCCGCTCTCCCCATGCTGCTCTCCCCATGCTGCTCTCCCCATGCTGCTCTCCCCATGCTGCTCTCCCCATGCTGCTCTCCCCATGCTGCTCTCCCCATGCTGCTCTCCCCATGCCGCTCTCCCCATGCCGCTCTCCCCATGCTGCTCTCCCCATGCTGCTCTCCCCATGCTGCTCTCCCCATGCTGCTCTCCCCATGCTGCTCTCCCCATGCCGCTCTCCCCATGCTGCTCTCCCCATGCTGCTCTCCCCATGCCGCTCTCCCCATGCTGCTCTCCCCATGCCGCTCTCCCCATGCCGCTCTCCCCATGCCGCTCTCCCCATGCTGCTCTCCCCATGCTGCTCTCCCCATGCTGCTCTCCCCATGCCGCTCTCCCCATGCCGCTCTCCCCATGCCGCTCTCCCCATGCTGCTCTCCCCATGCTGCTCTCCCCATGCTGCTCTCCCCATGCTGCTCTCCCCATGCTGCTCTCCCCATGCCGCTCTCCCCATGCTGCTCTCCCCATGCCGCTCTCCCCATGCCGCTCTCCCCATGCTGCTCTCCCCATGCTGCTCTCCCCATGCTGCTCTCCCCATGCTGCTCTCCCCATGCTGCTCTCCCCATGCCGCTCTCCCCATGCTGCTCTCCCCATGCTGCTCTCCCCATGCCGCTCTCCCCATGCTGCTCTCCCCATGCCGCTCTCCCCATGCCGCTCTCCCCATGCCGCTCTCCCCATGCCGCTCTCCCCATGCTGCTCTCCCCATGCTGCTCTCCCCATGCTGCTCTCCCCATGCCGCTCTCCCCATGCCGCTCTCCCCATGCCGCTCTCCCCATGCTGCTCTCCCCATGCTGCTCTCCCCATGCTGCTCTCCCCATGCTGCTCTCCCCATGCTGCTCTCCCCATGCCGCTCTCCCCATGCTGCTCTCCCCATGCTGCTCTCCCCATGCCGCTCTCCCCATGCTGCTCTCCCCATGCCGCTCTCCCCATGCCGCTCTCCCCATGCCGCTCTCCCCATGCTGCTCTCCCCATGCCGCTCTCCCCATGCCGCTCTCCCCATGCCGCTCTCCCCATGCTGCTCTCCCCATGCTGCTCTCCCCATGCTGCTCTCCCCATGCCGCTCTCCCCATGCCGCTCTCCCCATGCCGCTCTCCCCATGCTGCTCTCCCCATGCTGCTCTCCCCATGCTGCTCTCCCCATGCTGCTCTCCCCATGCTGCTCTCCCCATGCCGCTCTCCCCATGCTGCTCTCCCCATGCTGCTCTCCCCATGCCGCTCTCCCCATGCTGCTCTCCCCATGCCGCTCTCCCCATGCCGCTCTCCCCATGCCGCTCTCCCCATGCTGCTCTCCCCATGCCGCTCTCCCCATGCCGCTCTCCCCATGCTGCTCTCCCCATGCCGCTCTCCCCATGCTGCTCTCCCCATGCCGCTCTCCCCATGCTGCTCTCGCAGGGGTTCACAGTGATAGCGGGTCTGCTGGTAACCGCCATAGTGCAGTATGCTCTGGACGGCACGCCTCCCTCCCTCTACGTCTGGATGGCCCTCCCTCTCACCGTCCTCAGCACCTACCTCTACTCCTCCTCCGCTGCACCCCCTGCTGCTGCTGCTACTGCTAAGAGCAAGGAGCTCTAAGCTATAGAGCAGTTTGCTGGGGAGCTCTAAGCTATAGAGCAGTTTGCTGGGGAGCTCTAAGCTATAGAGCAGTTTGCTGGGGAACTTTTCTCTGGCAAAGAGCTGCTGACGCGGGTACTACTGCTGCTGCTGCTGCTGCTGCTGCTGCTGCTGCCTTTTTGCTTCCTTCTTTTCCTCTTCCTATGCCAGTCTTCCTTGCTTCATCCACATGACTTCGTCTTCCTTCTGTGAGCGCGTCTTTTGCCTATCTGCCTGCTAGGGAGATCCCTAAAGATCTGGCTAGGTGCCAGCAATCCCAGGGTGCCAGTGGTGCGGCAGTTGCATAATACAGATTGCTATTCACATGTACAGTGCGATGTGTCACAATGCCAGCTGCTACGTATGTACATTATTGCCATTCATGAGAAATTAAAGAAAGCATACATTGCATAACCGTTTGACGTACCTAGTATTCTACTCACTACGGACTCAATACATTATGGAAAATCTACTGATGTTGTTAGCCTCCTCTGCTGTGAGTTGCTATCTACAGCGCAGGACCGGTCGCACTGTGCTTCTTAGTTGGGCTGAACACAAACCCTTCAAATAGGGAGTTGTCTAGCGGATCCATTCCCGAGGCTGCATGCGTATCAATTGTCAGGTTTGGTTTCGCACCTCCCCCAGCCTTTCCCCCACCCTTTGTGTTTCCAGTCTTCCCAGCATGCCCCTTGTCAGTGCCACCTGGAGCTTTATCATTGGTGGAGGTCTGGCCGGCCTTTGCGGTGTAGTTGGTGGGCTTCGTTGCACCTGCAAGTGTGCACATTGACAGATGTTGCAAATCAAATTGGAGACAGACAGATACAGGGAGTGAAGAGGGTTTTGAGACATCTCAAAACCTGCAAGTATACACATTGGCAGATGTTGCAAATTAAATGGAAGACAGAGATATACAGGGAGTGAGAGGGGAAGACAGGAAGGTACGGTAAGGAGAGAGTAAGAGGGGGTTGAGACAAGGGTAAGGAGAGGAGGTTACAAAGGGGATGTGGAAGGGTGAAAAGGTGAGGGAAAAGATGGGGTGAAGGGGGTTACAGGGAGATGGACAGCTTACAGTTACCCTGGTGGTTGTCTGTGGGCGCAGCAGAGGAGGTGACAAAAGGGACAAGGAAAGCTGAAAATGTGGAGTGGGGTGTTTTGCGGTGGTGGGGGGGGGAGAGGGGGAGGGGGGTAGTACGAGGAGGTGCGCAGCTTACAGTTACCATGGTGGTTGTCAGTGGGCGCTGCAGCAGAGGAGTTGACAAAAGGGACAAGGAAAGCTGAAAATGTGGAGTGCAGTGTTTTGCGGTGGGGGGGGGGGGGAGAGGGGGAAGGGGGTAGTACGAGGAGGTGCGCAGCTTACAGTTACCGTGGTGGTTGTCAGTGGGCGCTGCAGCAGCGGAGGGTGGCTCCAGGGGATCGCTGATGTGGAGGCCGGTGAAGCTCTTATCAAAGTTTGACACGTCCTCCATGCCCTGTTGGGCCAAGCAGTCAGCATGGTGAGGGGAAGAAGCAGGGAAGCAGAGTGGGACGGTTTGCAAGGGATTGTTGCTGATGTCAAGGCTAGTGCAACCCTTATCCAAGTTTGACACGACCTCAATGCCCTGTGGGTCAAGGGGTCAGCACCATGCAGGTAGGAGCAGAGGGAGGGCAGCGCATGAGAGAGAACGACATGCACAAGAAGGTCGAGGAAGGGCAAAGGAAGGGCGAAGATCAAAGCTCAATCCACCTGACTCACCTTGCTGCTCGGCACGAATGGGGGAGGAACCTCCCTGGCATACAGCCTGTCCCAGTCCACGCCTCGGAAGCACACATCACTCTACCGCACTCACCTTGCTGCTACAAATAGAACATGTCACAAAGAGCAAATTGCATTTCACCCCACTCACCTTGCTGCTGGGTACAAACGGGGGAGGCACCTCCCTGGCATACAGCCTGTCCCAGTCCATGCCTCGAAAGAACTCGTGCCTCATGATCTCCGCAGCGTCAGTTGGGCCCGCTCCGAGCCTCTGGCTCGGCTCCCGAATCAGCAGCTGGAAAGAAGGTTGGTAGGGAGGGTATGTGGATGGATGAGTTGGGAGCCGGTGGAGAGGAGTTTAGTGAGGTATGGGAAGAGCTAAATGCATACTGGGGTTATATTTTGGAGAACATGATCAAAGGGGGCAAATAAAAGATGCACTTTCTGTATAAAATCTGCAACTGTAGTTATTATATTGTTGCGTGGTAATCAATGCTCAAACGTGGATGGGTTTTTGCACCTTACAGATAAGGATATTCTCCCAGGAAAGACTAGGACTCTCACCTTGGAAATGAGATCGCGGAGATAAAAATTGGTGACGGTGACGGGGAAGACGAGAGGCGCGTTCACTATCTTGTTGTACATGATGCTCACATTGCGGTCGTAGAAGGGCGGCTGGTGGAGGGAAGAGGCGAAATGGGAGAAACACCGACGCAAGTTTCTGGAACGACACACCACAATATTGTGACCATGGAAGGGCGGATGGGGGGAGGGGAGATAAGAATTTGGATAAGAACAGATGCAATGTGGGGGGAGGGTAGATGGGAGGGAGGATGACTTTTGAGTCGACTAGGAAGCTGACCACTTAGCAAACACACCACTCCATGCACTCACCACACCGACCACCATTTCAAAGAGGAGAATCCCAAGGCTCCACCAATCCACAGCCCTACCATGCCCCTTGCCTCCCAGTACCTCCGGAGCTGTTTGGGGGAATGGGGGTTTGGGATGGGGTGGGATTACTGAGGAGGAGGGTGGGTCCCATTTGTAGGTGGGAAACGACAGGAAAGGACGGGAAATAAGAGTTGGCATGAAAGGTGATGATGGTGATAAGCAGGGGGGCTGGGTTGGCCAATGAAGGATACCATGTGAAGGGAAAAGCATAAGGTTCAAAAATGGCTTCGCCCGGACTTGAACCGGAGACCTTCAGTGTGTTAGACTGACGTGATAACCAACTACACCACGAAACCGATGTCCATCTGGAAAACGTCTAGTTTATGAACATTATCTGGGGTCCTGGAGGCTCACCTAGATACTCGGGTGTGCCGCAAAATGTGGAGGCCGATGAGTTGTCGGCGATGTGCTCTTTGGCCAATCCGAAGTCCGCGATGCGCACGTGACCTGGCGCGGCGCGGTAGTGGATAACGAGATGGATGGACAGGAATGTGCAATGCGGATAACACCATTATTCAATGGCATAGCATCAGATTTTGGTTCAGCTCAGAAGTCTAGAGTCAGTATGACAGGACAATAAGGAGGTAAGAGTAGCTTCACCAGTTAGTTGTAACTACTTGTTGCTGACGGCTTACCTTGAGCGTCTAGGAGAATGTTCTCCGGCTTCAGGTCGCTGCGGCAGACAGCAGACCCATGGGAGCGAGATTACGATGGGTGGGGGAGATTTATGCGCAGAGGGTGGGGAAAGGGGGGTGGGGGAGGGGAAGAGAACATGAGAGAGATGAGTTTCAGGTTCTGGGGTTGAGCTGAAAGGGGCAGATATAGGGATATCAACCGCGCGGCGTAGGTCGGCGGCGTAGTTTGTGACGTCTCAAAACTGGGAAGAGACCATGAGAGAGATGAGTTCTAGGTTCCGAGGTTGAGCTGAAAGGGGCAGATGTAGGTCGGCGCCGCTCGCGCCGACCTGAGTTCGAGCTGAAGGGAGCAGATATAGGGATATCAACCGCGCGGCGTAGGTCGGCGGCGCTCGCGCTTGACCGACCTACCCGTTACATACCAGTCGCGCAACCGTCGCATGCCAGTCGCATGCTAATGTATGACGCCTAGAGAATGCAGGTGCCCCAGCGCCAAAATAAGCTCCGCGGCGTACAGGCGCGCGGGGTCGTCCTTGAATCGCCGCCTCTTTCGTTCACCCCCTACCCGTCGCACGCCAGTCGCACAACTTGCGCACACTGGGAGCACACGTTTCGCACAGTCACATACCGGTAAATGACGCCCAGCGAGTGCAGATGCCCCAGCGCCAAAAGAAGCTCCGCGGCGTACAGGCGCGCGCGGTCGTCCTTGAAGCGCCTTTCCCGCAGCACTCACATATCATCCACATACAGTCGCACGGCTGTCGCACACCCGTCGCATACCGATAAATGACGCCCAGCGAGTGCAGGTGCCCGAGCGCCAGCAGCAGCTCCGCAGCGTATAGGCGCGCGCGGTCGTCCTTGAATCGCCGCTCGCGCTTGAGGTGAAAGAAGAGCTCCCCGCCCGGCATGAAGTCGAGGATGAGAAACAGGCGAGTTTCGGATTGGAGAGCCCATCGTAGAGGGACGAGGAACGGGTGCCGCACCTCCTGGGGGTGGGGGATGTGGGAGGAGCGTGGGAAGGGGGTTGGGGAGTGTGGGTAAAAGGGAGGCAAGCTCAACCGTCCGCGCTTGAGGTGGAAGAAGAGCTCCTCGCCCTTCATGATGTTGAGTATCAGGAAGAGGCGCGTCTCGGACTGCAAGGCCCATCTTAGAGGGACGAGGAACGGGTGTCGCACCTCCTGGGGGGGAAATGGGAGACTCAGTTGATGAGCGAAGTGTGGGAAGGGGGAAGTGGGGGGAGGAGGGGGGAGCGGGCGAAGTGGGGGAAGAGAAGTGGGGAGTGTGGGGAGGAAGTGGGGAGGCAAGCATCCGCGCGTGAGGTGAAAGAAGAGCTCCCCGCCTGGCAGAATCGGGAAGAGACGCGTGTCGGACTGGAGGGCCCATCGCCGTGGCACGAGGAGCCACTTTCTACACGTGGCTCGCCGTGGCACGAGGAGAGGAGCCACGTGTAGAAAGTGTTTTTTTGAGACGTCTCAAGAATTCACTTTCTGCACGAGGAACGGGTGATGCACCTCCTGGGGGAAGGGGGGGAGAGTATGTGAGGGGATAAGCGGATGTGCGGTGTGCGGGTGAAAGAGAGGCATGAGGATCAAGGATTCATCATCAGCAGTATCAGCGGAATGAGGTAGGGGTGACGCACCCTCTGGGAGGGGGAGATGAAGAAATGGATGAGGGAATGCGGGGAAGGGGGGAATGCGGGGAAGGGGGGAATGCGGGGAAGGGGGGAATGTGGGAAAGGGGAAAATGCGGGGAAGGGGGGAATGTGGGAAAGGGGAAAATGCGGGGAAGGGGGGCAAAATGGGGAATGCGGGAAAAGGGGGAATGCAGGGAAGGGGGAATGTGGGAAAGGGGGGATGTGTTGAAAGGGAGGTGTGGGGAAGAGGGAAAGTGGAGGAGGGATTTGGGAAAGAGGAATTTTGGGGAAAGGGGGATGTAGGGAAGGGGGGAGGTGGGGAAGGGGGGATGGGGAGGAGCGTGGGATGGGGCGATGAGGCGAAGGCTGAATGTGGTGAAGCGGGATGTGGGAAAGGGGGGATTTGGGGAAAAGGGGAAGGTGGGGAAGGACACACAAAAACATATGATTGCACATACACATACACATACACATACACATACATTCAAATGCACACACGAATCCCCCTCCCGCGCTCCACCCACCAACCACACCCACCTGCAGCACATGTCGCTCCGTAAGTACACACTCACCCGGACAGCTGCTGCCGGCACATCACTGCCACATACACACACCCCATTGACACAGCACACCCATGTCTCTCCTTGCATGCGCACCCACACCCACCTGCAGCACATGTCGCTGTGTGAGTGTGTGCTGCAGCTGCTGCAGGCACATACACATTGAGTCCAATCCGCACCAACCCCCCCTTCCAAACACCCACCAACCGCACCCACCTGCAGCACGTGTCGCTCAGTGAGAGTGTGCTGCAGCTGCTGCCGCCGCATCACTGCCGCCTTGTCCAGCACCTTCATTGCAAACACCTGCCCGCTGGGGGCATGGCGCACCAGCAGCACCTGGAGGGGTGGATGGGTGGGGCAGGGATCATGAGAGTGGGTGCATGGGTAGGGTATGGCAGTGGGCACAAGGCGTCTCTCTGCTGCTGCCGTCGCATCACTGCCACCTTGTCTTGTCCAGCACCTTCATCGCAAACACCTGGCCACTGGTAGCGTGGCGGACCAGCAGCACCTGGAGAGACAAAGGGTGGGGCATGTGAAGAGGAACGGAAAGGAGTGGTGCAGCAATGGTGTACCACCTTTGTTGCAGCAATGTGTTGCATCACAAGGCGTCTCTTCTCTGCTGCTGTCGCCGCATCACTGCCGCCTTTGTCCAGCATCACCTTCATTGCAAACACCTGCCCGCTGGAGGCATGGCGCACCAGCAGCACCTGGAGGGACGTTGGGGTGGGGGAGGGACGGAATCTCAACACCCTCAGCAGGCACATCACTCAACTCACTCACTGCCTTCCTTGTCAAGCACCTTCATTGCAAACACCTGCCCGTTGGGGGCCTGACGGGCCAACAACATCCGAAAGCGGAAGGTGTAGTAGTCAAAGACGGTGGGCGGAAGGAGGCGACTTTTGAGTCGACTGAAAAGTCACGTCCGAAAGAGGAAGGTGTAGTAGTCAAAGACGGTGGGCGGAAGGAGGCGACACTCAAAAGTCACATCCGAAAGCGGAAGGTGTAGTAGTCAAAGACGGTGGGCGGGATGGCAAAGCTGGCACTGAAGAAAAACCTTCCAGGGCCTTGAGGGGGATGAAGCTCGCCACCGGGATTTTTGAGAATTCTCAAAAAATCCCCAAAGCTGGCACTGAAGGAATACCTTCCAAGGCCTTGATTGGGATGAAGCTCGCCACCTTGGCGAAGCTCCTGTTTCTGAGAACCTTCCGAGGGACGTTTCAGAAGCTTCAGAACCCTTGGCAGGACAAGATCTAATCAAATGGTACCTTGTTATAGATAAAGCACGGCTGATGGTGGTTGCAGTTACCTTGTAGCATAGAAAAATAGTTTCGACCTGGATCCAACGGTCTTAACTCGTCCTAATCTCCTCTAGGCTGAGCTTAAGCTAATAGGGATTGAATAGGTAAGAAATAGGTAAGAAATAGCTTAAGAAATTGTTATAGATAGAGCACGGCTGATGGTGGTTGCAGTTACCTTGGCGAAGCTGCCCTTTCCGAGAACCTTCAGCGGGATGAAATCAGTGATCTCCACAGGAGGTGCCACGTCAGCGTTGATGCTGGTGGCGACGATGTCAGCATCCTGCATTGACACGTCATTCTGGGTCATGGGGGGGAGGAGGAGAGAAGTGGGGTGGGTTCGGAAGCGGTTGGAAGCGGTGCAAGTGCAATGACTGGGATGGAACGAGTCTCCCTGTGTTTAAAGACCGCTTTGAGTCGACTCAAAAGCGAATTTAACGACCGGTCATCACTCTCACCATCAAAGTTGGAGCGTCAACCCCACCGGCTGAGCCTTGGAATGTCCCTGCCTCCTCCCCTGCTTCGCCCCCCACCACGGTTTCCCCACGGAGGGAGGTGGGCGCGGAGAAAGGGAAGACACGCGCCGATGCTGCGGCCCAGAAGGGCCGGATAGACTGAGGGGGGGGATACAAATGGGAGGCAGGGACGGGGAGAGGAGCTTGGGGACGAGGGGAGGGGCGATTTGAAGTTGCGTGGATGAACGAGGGGAACACGCGGGCAGACGCTGCAGCCCAGAAGGGGCGGATGGACTGAGGGGGGAATACAAATGGGAGGAAGGGACGGGGAGAGGAGCTTGGGGACGAGAGGTTGATGCGAGGAGGGAGGGAGGGTTCTCAGAGAGAGGGTGTTTTTGAGAATTCTCAAAAGCACCCTGCAGGTTGAGGCGAGGAGGGAGGGAGGGCTTTCAGAGAGAGGGTTGGAGCTGACTCTCCTCTCCTGATATCCCTGCCTCTGCGTCTGCAACCTGCCCCCACCACGGTCTCTCCCTAGGGGGGGGTGGGTGCGGAGAAGGGGAAGACGCGTGTTGGTGCTGCCGCCCAGAAGGGACGGATGGACTGGTGGTGGGGGAAGGGGGAGGGGAGAGGGAGGGGAGGGGTACGGGGAGGGGGAGGGAGGGTAGAGAGGAGGGGCGATTTGAAGTTGCTTGGATGAACGAGGGGAAGACGCGGGCCGATGCTGCAGCCCAGAAGGGGCGGATGGACTGGCGGTGGAGAATGGGGGGATTGTGTGGGTGGAGGGGGGGCAGCAGTGGAAGAGAGGGGGGGCAGCAGTGGAAGAGAGGGGGGGCAGCAGTGGAAGAGAGGGGGGGCAGCAGTGGAAGAGAGGACGGGAGGATGGGAGTCGCATAGATGGATAAAGGAAAAATGCGTGGTGGTGCGGCACTCTTGAGGGGAACGATGATTGCATCGCCATTGCAGACCGTGGTGCGTAAAGAGGCGAGCAAGAAGAGTTTGAGCCAATTGGAAAGATGTTTGCATCACTTGCCTTGATCTTGGTTCGGACCGAAGCCAGCAGCTCCTCTTGATCCTGCCACAGACAGGGGAGAGCGGAGGAGTGGAGAGGGGAGGAGTGGAGAGGAAATTGGGTTTCGAGTCAAGTTGAGAAAAAACTTGGTTCGGACCGAAGCCAGCAGCTTCTCTTGATCCTGCCACAAATAGGGGAGAGTGGAAGAGAGGGGAAATGCGGAAGAGACAGATGCACGACTCACATGCTGGACAATGAATGCGTGACATGAGGCACGTGACATGACATGTATGGGCCGCATGTGGCACATGGAGAGGCGCACGAACATGACATGACATGATGTGCTGACATGAGCATCCACGTGCTGCCTTGAGCTGTCTTCTGCTGTCTCGTGCTGTCTCCGTCCTGCCTTCACTCTATGCTGCTGTGACCCTTAACCACCGATCCGAACCTTGATTCACCTCCACACCCATCTATCAGCCCATACTGTCTCATTTTGTGTCGTCCGTATTGCCAGTCTCACCATACGGGCCGACAAGATGTGATGAATGGTATGAATTCTGTTGCTATGATTGTGAGCACGTACCACCACGCCCACGTGGATGCTGGTTGATGCTGGCAGCTGCGGGCGATCCGAGTTGAGAGCCAGGGCGCGTTCAACAGCCATGGCTGCTTCCACCGCAAACGCTGACATCACCATCTGACATATGGTGGGCGCGAGCGGCGTGCACAAAACCACGTCCTTTTCCTGAAGGAATGGGGGAACGGTGAGGGTGGGGTTTGGAGGGGAAACAAGGGTGGTGGTGAGGTTAAGATAAGGGCAAAGACGAAGTACCATCTTCCTTTGGATGCATGTCCCGATGCTCTTTGGGACGATATTTCGAAACCCACATTGTCATGTGTTGATTGACTGCATTGACTCACGTTGACCATGCCAATGGAGAGCATGTCATTGGTCGACGACAGCAGCAGCTTAACCACTGACAGCACTGGGATGCACTGCCTCAGCTTCCCTCTGCTGGCCCTTGCTCCATGGCTGCTCGAAGTCGGTCCGTTACTGATGACGGCTTGCATTCCTCCCTCGTCGTTTGTCACATCCCCTGAAGAGCCATTTGTACTGCCGCCTTTCTGCGATCCCCGGCTCAGCTTTCCATCCGCGTTAGTAACCTCCTCGAAATTCTCGACCTCTTCGAAAGTCCTGGGATTCGAATCCACTGAGACCGTAGTCAGGGCTGCGGCAGCAGCAGCTGCTGCTGCTGTAGCGGCAGTAGGAGACGCAATATAATCGTCGGATCTTGTGCCAATCTCGTCGTTTTCTTCCGAGCCGCTCCTATCCTCGCTGATCACCTCGAGGAGGTACAGAGCGCGGGACGTCAGCAGCAGCGTCAGAGGCTGACGGATTCCGTCAGCAGTTGACGGATGGTAGGTCCCAGCGGGCTTCAGTTGCTGGACAAACGCGGATAGAATGTCCTTTTCTGACGGCCTCCCGCCTGCAGTCACAAATCGTTACTGGAAAACCGGAGTACAGTCGCGTAGGCTTTCACAATATTCTTTGTATCATCACATGATAAATGAGTTGATGGACTTACCAAGTGACCTGATAAGATTTCCGATTGAGATGTGCGAGGCGCTTTGATGCTGCGGTGAGAGTTCGCCATCGTCGCTGAGCGCTTTCGTGGAGAATCTAGCGCCAAGGAGCCTCCGAGGAAGCACGAGAGACAGCCTCTCTAACTGCTCGTGCGCCTCCCTGTGGACAGGGTAATCCAGAGGCTGAGACATATTGAACTATTAATCACTAGCAACTTGACTGAAAATTGGAGAAAAATAATAGGTATTCTGCTTTGCTGCCGCAATTTTCTAAGCGTTCTCAGTCGGATGCTCTAGGTTTTGAAGATAAAGAGGGGATAAGCTGACTCACTAGAGTAGAGGGTCTGTGTCATTGAGGTGGAGGAGGTGTTTGCGAGGCTGGGGAATTTGTGCCGTTTCGTCTTCGCAAATTGACGCGCCGCTTGTTTTGAACCGCCGAGTCGCGTTTCAAGGAGATCAAATTCGTCGTGTGGTGGAAAATGCGCCGTTTCGCCTCCTTCACCCAAGTAGGCACAAGTGGGTATCGATAACGTACCTACACCATCCTGGGAATAAAGATGTTATGAAATTACATCTCAGCAAATCTGTTTGACGAATAATGTTGACTATGTTTGAAATGGACAGCTGTGAACTGACATTTGCCACTGAAAGGCTAATTACCCCCCAGTGCCAATGGTGACCAACGCGGGTTAAAATCTGTCAATAACCACCACTATCAATCATGCAAGTGAATTCATCATTTTAACGAGCACTTCTGGTTAGTAATCAGTTTGGTGCCCTCTAATGTACTACAGCAACTCGCCTTCGCCCATGGAATCCAGCATGGCTCTTACGAGAGCATCATCCAGCAACTCCAGGCCCTGAGGAGCCTCCCCCATAAAGCACCCCATGTAATCCATGCCCCCCAAACCACCCCCCAAGAATCCTAACGCATCCCCAGCGATAACTTCCTCCTTGAAACTTGCCTCAGTACAAGTATAATCAGTCCGCGTGACGTCGCTACTCGGCGAGCTCGGGTTGCTGACCTTGTGAACGAGAACTTTAGCCGCGTCCCCGTTACATTCCATGCCTCGCAACTTCTTCGCAGGTGATGCCTCGTCGCACGCCGGAACGGCTTTGACTAAATCAGTTGCGGGAACGGCAGGCGAAGCCAGCTGCGAAGAGATCTGTGACTGCCTTCCGGTCGAGCTCATCTCCCTTCGCAACCGCTCTACCTCCTCCTTCATCCGCTCGTTCGCCGCGCGAAGGCTGTCCACGCTCGTCTCAGCCTCCTTCAGTTTCCGATTCGCCTCCTCGCGCACTTCAGTCAGAGCCGCGACCTCGTCCTCAAGCTCGTCGAGTCGCTCGCGCTTCCGCTGCCGCGACCGCTTCGCCGACTGCCGATTCGACATGATACGGCGAACTTTCTTCTCCTCGTCCTCGTCGGAATCTAGTTTCCCGCTGCCCGCGAAGTTGATTCCGAGAGCGCTTAGGGAGCTTGCAGCTGAGATAAAGCTGTTGCTGAGAGGGGATACGGCCGAGATGATGTTGCTGTTGAGGGGAGTTACACCTGATATAGTCACACCTGACCCGTTACTTAGGAAACGGCTCGATACAATGGATGTGGGTATCCCTACGGACGGGGGTAAAACCGCAGGAATTCCAGGGAGCGTTGAAACAGGAGGATGGGGAATAGTGGCGGATGATTGGAAGCGAGCAGCAGCAGACAGCAACGCAGAATTCTCGGAAAGGCCAGTGGAGGAGAAAGCCAGGGATCTGCCATTGATGCCAGCCGACGGAAATCCTACGGCTGACGGCAGCTGCTGACGGGTGACCGTTAGATTAGCACGCCTCTGTAGCTGAGCCAGAAGGTCGTCTTGGCTCACAGCCTGCTCGTTTGCCGTATGCTGCTGAAACGCGGTTCCGTTCTGCTTCGCTGAATGGAGAGTTTGACGACCGGCAACGAGTGGAGAGACTGCGCTGTTCTGCTGTGATTCCGCCGGCTGTTGCGCTTGAAATCCGGCCATGAACTGAGAAACAGCACGGTCAAAGTCTTCCGAGACACGGGGACGGCTAAGAGGCCCATCAGATCGATATTTGGAGCTGGCGGAGGGTGCGGCGGCGGTCGCGAGCGGCACTCGCTTGATCTCTGGTGGGAAACACATGATGGCTTTTCTGTTGAAATTATGCGGATCACGCTTTTTAGAGAAGTAACCAAAAGCTAAAACTGAAAGGAATAGAAATGAGAGCTGAGAAAGGAAACTGGAGGTTTGAAGCGTATGCTGTGTGTGCTTGAGCTTGTGCGAGCGGGGGTGAATGTGAGGGCGCGGTGCATTTGGCGCAAATCCCGAAGTTTGCCTTTTTGAATCGATTTCACCCTTTTTTGAAGTTCGATTGTGTGGTCGAAAAGTTGATTTCACGAGGTTCGAGCCGCGGGGCTGATTTCTAGTAAGTGAGAATGTGACCAGCGAGGGTCGAAACACGAGATTCGACTTTCGCCGAGCCGCGATAATTAATGTAGGTTACGCTATTAGCCTACGTGGCTCTGACGTTTTTGTCGAAGTATTAGCTGTAAATGTCATCGAGTGTCGCCGTTTTCGTGAAACTGATGAATTGACCACGTTCAAAAGCTAGTTCGAATGCACGTTCGAACACGCGGTCGACTGACTGTCTGGTTACTTGACTTACCATGTAGCGTTCGAACATTGACCTGGTAGCATGCGATGATTTTTGCGACATTCGCGAATATAGTAACCAGCTCAAGTTCGGCCAGTTTTCTGAACTTCGACTCAAAAGCACCGCGCCCTGAGGAAGGGGTAGTGGGGCGCTGGAACGGCAAGCTGGAGAAATAACGGGGGAAGGGGGGAGATCATGACTGTGGCTTGAGCTGAGATGGAGAGGAGCCATGCAAGAGCAAGGACAACCGGGAAAACGTCCACCACCCACCGTTCCGTCAGGGCTGGAAAAACCGGCTCGAAAATCGGCTCGAAATTCGGCTTCGGTTGGGGAAAATCGGGGAACCGAATTGATGCAGTGGCTGGCAGGGCTGCTCGCCAATACACGCACTTATTCGTTTATCTCACCAAGCGCGTTTCGGTCGGAGGTGCTTGTCATTTTTGCCCGGTGCTTTTAACGTCTGCGAGTCACATTTCCCTGCGTATTGCCGTCCCTTGCTCCCAAAATGTGGCTATAAATACGTTTCTGCAACTGTAGGCCGGCCTGACCTAATCATAACTAATAAATTTGGCCTCGTCTTTAGCGCGAATGCGTGTAACTGTAGTGCTCTGCCACCAATTTTCTTCAACGTTTAGCAATTCAATGCTGAACTGATCACGCGTGTGAATCGATTCTATGTGACATAAACGCATCGCTCCCAACCTTCTATGTGAACGTATAAGTGGGTGTACACGAAATGGCATACCTGCGCGCCATTCCATTGGGTGTTGTTACTTGAACGGATCCCAGGAAAAATTCAACACTCTTATGACCCCTCGGAAGTCACACTTCCCGTACAGTATTGAAATGGGGATCAGGACGACCTGAAACCGGGTGGAGCAGACCTTGTGTGGAGGCGTCAATGTCCCGAGGTTCATAGGAATGTGAGAACACTCTGCCTGACCTCAAGCAGGTGTACCTCAGGAGAAGACGGCTCTGTACTGTAGAGCATCAGTCCCAGCCCAGCCCATGCCAGCCTGTTGTCAGCAGCAACAACCTTGAGCATCCATTCCTGCCAAGAAACACGCTGGTGGGCCAAGATTGTGAGGGGTGAGTGTTCATCTAAACGCAGGCAACAGCTGTACACCGCCTAGCGTTCAATTCGAATCCCATTTGAGACAAGGTGAACCAGTGGCGGAAACCGTGGCGAAAATCAGGTGCGAAGAATCGCAGGAAACCGCGTCGAATGACCACAGATTCCTCCTCCTGCATCCGTGCAAACTGGCGGCGATGTGGAGGAACAAACTCGTGCCCTTATTCAAATCTATTTACCCAACATTCCAGCCTATATTCCTATATTGGCCGAGTGCTTTTGAAAGAGTTGTATTCCGAACCCTTCCACTGCATTGCGGAGGTGGAATGCATTCTCGCTAACACCTGGCGGGGATACTGCTCTTCGGGCTTCTAAACAGGCGAGCCTTCCAAATGCCCCGTCAAATCCCTGCCTCCCGCTTGCCTGGAGAACATGCCGTTTAGGGGTGCTATGAAGGAATTATAATCACATTGTAGCCTTAGAGTTGCCCATGGCACGCTGTAGACACGTTTGGCTAAAACAACTCTAGATGTATGATACCTGGCTTTGGGACCCTACCTAGCGTAATTCAAATGTGTTCCGAAACTACCCTCTCTCTTAATGGGTTGTTTTGCCTGCTGGAATGTGGCGTCAAAGCAAAACGAAAGGACTGTCTGCCACAGGTGTTTCGGGCAGCCAAGCGTTGAATGTAGGACAACTTCGGGAAGATTCCGTCCGGTGATGGCGGGAATCCCATCCCACCCCGTTCCATCCTATCCCATCCTGCATGATTCCCGTTGGTGTGATTCACAGAGCACAACAAAATCTGCAGTCTTCAATCGCGAACAGTTTTGAGTGGGGAGCGTCACCAGGACATGAAACTCCACTAATGGTACACTCCCATCTCTCTGTATCAAGTCAACTTTAGTTACTATAATGCAAACAGTGCAAATTTCCTTTCCAAGTGCCTCATTGATCTGTTTGTTGAAGTGACACCTGCCTGCCTTCCGTGCAATCAAATCACTCATTATCTTTATTTCTCGCTTATGGTGAGGCAATCTTGTGATTACTCTCAGTAATAGGTTGCTGTTTTGGATGGTAGCGAGTGAAGGGACAGGCGAGTTTTGGGTGGGGGGGGAGTAGCGAGAGGAAGGGAGTGAAACATTATGGGTTGGAAGGGGTTGCAGAGAAACTTATGGGCCTGGGACAGGGGAGCATAGTGGCGAGGCTTGGGAACTTGGGTGTGGATGAGTGTGAGACACAGCAGGAGGATTCGGTCTTTAAGAAGATGGGGGGAATATTGAGCACCAAAGGGGCACACTAATCTAGAGCTGCTGTCACCACTTTCTTGCCTCCCCGCGGATTTAGAGTCGGCTCAAAAGGTGCTTCCCTCACAACCCTTCCCTCTTCCCCTGTAAAGCGCCCCCCTCTTCCCCCTCCTCTCCCTCAAGCTCCTGACCAAATGAATCCAGCACAGAAGGGTCATAGTCTGCTGCTGCTACCACCCACTTTTTGCCTCCTTGCTGGCTTTCGAGTCGACTCAATAGCACCTCCCCTATACCACTCCCCCCTTCATTTCGCCCTCCTCATTCCCCTCAAGCTCCTGTCCGAATGTGTCCAGCACAGAAGGGTCGTAGTCCACAGCCAATTCCTACATTACTCTCCCCTTCCCTTGCGCCACGTCCCCCCCCTCCTCCAATCCCTCAAGCTCCTGACCAAACGTGTCCAGCACAGAAGGGTCATAGTCTGCAGCTGCTACCACCCACTTTCTCGCCTCCCTGCCTCCTTGGCCAGCTTTGTAGTTGAGCCAAACACACCTTCCTTACACCACCCCCCCTTTCCCTTGCACCACGCCCTTCTCCTCCTCCCCCTCTCCCTCAAGCTCCTGACCGAACGTGTCCAGCACAGAAGGGTCGTAGTCTGCAGCTGCTACCACCCACTTCCTTGCCTCCCTACCTCCTTGCCCAGCTTTAGTCGAGCCAAAAGCAGCTTCCTTACACCACTCCCCCCTTTCCTTGCACCACGCCCTTCCCCTCCTCCCCCTCTCCCTCAAGCTCCTGTCCGAATGTATCCAGCACAGAAGGGTCGTAGTCTGCTGCTGCTACCACCCACTTTCTCGCCTCCCTGGGGTTCCCCTCTGCACTCAAGAGGCTGAGGGAGAAAAGAGAAAGGGGTAGAAGTGCTTTGAGTCAACACAGAAGCACAGAAGGATCATGGTCTGCTGCTGCTGCCACCCACTTCCTCGCCTCCTTGCGGTTTCCCTCTGTGCTTAAAAGGCTGGGAGAGAAGTGAGGCAGGGGGAGGTGGAATGAGGTGGGGGAGCAGGGGAGGTCGTCACTCATGGTTGGAAGGGCAGCAGCACTCACCCCCTTTAGCAGGGGAAGGTGGAATGAGGTGGGGGAGCAGGGGAGGAAGGGGATGGAAAAAAGTGAGAGCAGGGGCACGGGATGGGAAAAGGGGAAATCAGAGGACATAAAGAAAATTTCCGTACAACTTATCGCGAAACTATTCCATCACATTGGATTGCAATGCTTGTAAAGATTCAACAGCACTACTTGCAAGGGCCAGCATGGCCTGTGCGTGCAGCGGGTCAAACTATGCCAAGCAACAGCCCATTCCACGTTCTTATCAGCTGCTACCACACTACCTTGCAAGGGCCAGCATGGCCTGTGCGTGCAGCGGGTCAAACTATGCCAAGCAACAGCCCATTCCACGTTCTTATCAGCTGCTACCACACTACCTTGCAAGGGCCAGCATGGCCTGTGCGTGCAGCGGGTCAAACTATGCCAAGCAACAGCCCATTCCACGTTCTTATCAGCTGCTACCACACTACCTTGCAAGGGCCAGCATGGCCTGTGCGTGCCGTCGTCGGTTCAATGGGTCTCTCTTCTGCTCCCCCTCCAGCACCGTCTCTGGTGCCACCTGCAGCAGTGCCTTCGCCTCTAAAGGACGGCTCTGGGGGAATGGGAGATTGGAACGAGGTGAATGGAACGTGGGGTTGGAGGGATGGAGAGGGCAAAAGTGACTTCCTGTAAAGTTACTCAGGGTTCCTCTTTTGCTTCTCCTCCAGCACCGTCTCTGCTGCCACCTGCAGCAGTTCCTTGGCCTCCAAAGGACGGCTCTGGGGTGAGAGAGGGGTGGGGTGAAGGGATGGAGCAGGAGAGCGAGGGTTGGCAGTGTTGAGCAAGACTGTTTTGCTCAGTGGAAACACTAACTCTTGCGCCCTTTTTGACTTGACAATGAAGCCAAGTGACTTTTAAATGCCTCACGGGCTTCCCATCGATCTAATTGTGATTTTCATGTGCATGTGCATGTGCATACAAATAGGACCGGATGTAATCAACGTGCATGCACTGGAATCCCCATTCTGTGCCAATGCACCCACATCCCACCCCCCCTGCAGCACCAGTGCCCCTACCTCTCGACAACCCACCTGCTGTGCCAATGCCACACCCGCACCCAGGTGAGCTGCCAGCTGTACTGCCACGTCAGCACGCTCCTGCAGGGGCATGCATGTGGTAGAAGAAAATGGGTTAAGTGCGGTGCAGCGTGGAAGGCTTTAAAAGAAAAAGGGAATGGAGCAGGAGGATAGACATCAGCACTGAGCATGGCGAGGGTAGGTAAGCAAGTACCTTGGAGTGGGCTACTATTGTAACAAGGTGACTTTTGAGTCGACTTACAAGTCACCATGGAGCAGGAGGTTGAGGAGGAGGATGATAGACCTCAGCACTGAGCCTGGTGAGGGTAAGTAAGCAAGTACCTTGGAGTGGTTAATCGCCTGGGAGAAGCATTCAGCTACCTCCACCCACCGCGCAGCACCGCTGTGTATCTGACCCAATCGCGTATAGCCTTGATGGGCGACAGCAGTACAAAACACCTCGAGAGGAGCAAGTACCTTGGAGTGGTTAATCGCCTGGGAGAAGCATTCAGCTGCCTCCACCCACCGCCCTGCACCGCTGTGCATCTGACCCAATCCCAGCCATGCAGAGGATGCTGATTGGTCAATCTCCAGAACACGCCTGGCGGGAAGGAGGAGGTTGGAAGATGTAGAAAGGCAAAGCGCGACACTAAACACTTGTTGCTTAAAGACTTTGGTGCTCCAGATTTTTTAGCGGAGTCAGTCAGGCATAAAAAATATGTAAATATAGAAGCGTGTTTGCACTGATAAAAAAGCCAGGAAGAAAGTACTTTCGACGCCATCAAGAGAAAGAAACAAGTGGCCTAAGGATGACACGAGACAGGTAGGCATGTGGCGGCAACAAGCTGAATGCGTCTTTTGAGAATTCTTGCAAAACACATTCGTCAAGCAGCTTAAGAAGGGCATGGGTGAGGTGAGGTGGGCATGTGACAGCAAGTTGCTGTCAGCAACAACGGATGCACACTCAAGATTTTAGCGGAAACATGATACCAGCGGAGGTGGTTTTTGAGGGAATATAATCTCAAAAACCACCTCGATTTTAGCGGAAACATAATACCAGCGGAGAAAACCAGACAAGATTTTCCCCAACTTTCATACCTCAGAGCGCAAGCAGCTAGATCCACACTGCCTGCCGCCTTGAGTTGTGCTGCAGCCTGTTATAAAGGGGATGACAGAGAAGATATCCTGGCAGTTAAGAATTTGACAGTCAAGGTTACTAAGTACGGCGGCAGAGCACAATAAAAGACCCTTTACTGGCAAAAGACCCGATACCCTTAATAACAATGATGTGAGCAGCCAGGAGGAGCGGTGCTCCACAAATTACATTTAGGAGTCCAGATCTTGCAGAGAATTATAAAGGTATACAGTGGCCATACAGTCGCAAGCATCGTGTTTAATGTCTGTGGTTCTGAGACGTCTAAAAGAAAACATCCGCGCGATTAATAATCTAGGCGACCTCTTTTGAGTCAACTAAAAGACAAAACATCCGCATGATTATTAATCTAGGCGACTTCTGAGTCGACTTATAAGTCACTTTGAGACGTCTCTCAAGACTAAATTAGTATCAGTGGAATTATAAGGGCCTCTTGGCCATACAGTCCCATAATACTTACAGTCCCATGCCTGGCGTTTCAAACTTTCAGACTTATACAAGCAAAGGTGCATTCGGAACGTCTATCAGCCATGGGGATCTGTCAGTTGTGCAGCCTTTTCTTAGACCCCTACAAACCAATCACAAAAGGGACTCACCACAAGCAAAGTATGCGGGTTTGTCATCCGTGCAATCTCCTGCTCTGATATCAACTGCCCCACACTCCCTGCGCCTCCAAAACTGGTGGCATCACCATTTGCAGCACCATTGGCAGCAGCAGCCCTAGAGGAGGCAGCAGCCCGAGCGTGCTGCTGCTGCAAGGCTTGTAGCTGTGCGATGGTGGGCAGGCCTAAGGCTTGGCGGATGGTGGGGGATCTGAGTGCCAATGCCTGGGGAGACAGGGGAGAGAGAAAAGGGGGAGAGCGGGGACATAATGGTTTCAAGCGGTGCAAGGCGTGAAGCTGTGCGATGGTGGGCAGACCTAAGGCTTGGCGGATGATGGGGGACCGGAGCGCCAAGGCCTGTGGAGAGTGGAGTGAAGGAAGTGTGGACAGAGTGGTTCAAAGCGGTGCACTACGATGGTGTTCTGGCTTCATGCTGTATGGCATGCAGGTGTGCGATGGGGGGCAGGCTGAGAGCCAAGGCAAGGCGAAGGCAATGGATGAGGGAACTGGAGTGCCAAGGCAAAGGGGAGAGGGGGGATAGGGAGGTGGGACAGGGGATAAGGGGGGTTAAAAACGGTGCAGTGTGGTGTTATGGCCTAACAACAGATGCATGCGGGGGAGAGATACGGGGGCGTGCAGAGGCATGGAGAGGAACGAGGGAGATGGCGGGGATGGGACGGGAGGGGAGGAGAAGGGATGGGAGGGATGCGAAGGGATGAGAAGGTAGGAGAAGGAATCTCATGGCATGAGAAGGGATGGGAGGAGATGGAAGGTACAATAAGACATGGGAAGGGAAGGTAGGTGAAAGAATTGGATGGGATAAGAAGGGATGGAAAGAGATGGCAAGGGATGAAAAGGGTGGAAGGAATGGGAAGGATGGGAAGGGAAGAGGCAGGAGAGGTAGGGATGGGAGGTGAAGGGATGGGAAGTGAAGGGAGGGGGAGTGAAGGAAATGATGGGAAGGGATGCAGAGGGGTAGGGTGGGCACCTGAGCGAGAGTGAAGGTGTTGTTGGTAAGCCAGTACACGTGCACTGCCTGGGGTGTGGGGAAGGAGGAGTGGACAACGGTGAAACGGGTTAAAGAGGGGTAGAAAGAGGTGGAGGTGGATAAACAGGTATGATGATGAGCGAGAGTGAAGGTGTTGTTGGTGAGCCAGTGCACGTACACTGCCTGGGGTTTTATGGGTAAGGGGGAGTGGAGAGAGGTAAAAACCAGTTGAAACGGGTTGAACAGCAGTAGAGGGGGCTTAACAGGTGCACCTCTACTGCTTCGATGTGGTCCTGTCATCAGCGCGTTTGATGACAGGGCAACATCGAATCGAACGCGCTGCCCAAGTTTTGAGTCGACTCAAAGCAGTAGAGAGGGGGCTTAAACAGGTGCTATGATGAGTGGAATGTTGTACAACATCCAACGCAGAGCCCCTGCCGCCCCCGCGCTAACATAACATCCCAAATCAGTTTTTTGGGAATTCTAAAAAAACAGCCCCTGCCGCCCCCGCACTAACATACCATCCCAAACCAGTGGCGTGCTAAAGCCACCTGCTACAATCACCTCCAGCAGTCATTCCCTAAAATTACCTGGGGAACGTTGAGTGCAGCATAGAGAGTTGGGAGAGTGAGGAATTCGAGGAAGGTTCGGTAGGCCTGGTGCAGACAGGCAGGGGGGGTGAAGGTGGGGGAGGGGAGGAGGAGGGAGGGGGAAGGGAGGGAGGGAGAGTGAGGGGAATGAGATGGGGGGAGTGGAGGGGGAGGAGAGGAGGAATCACAGAAGGCTTCAGAAGGCTTTGCGATAGTGGGGGTAAGTGAGGGGGGGAGTGAAAGGAGGGGGTGGATCGAGAGAAGGGGAGGAAGAAGAAGCGTGGAACTCAGCGTGTTTTTGAGACGTCTCAAAAACACCCTCACCTCACGTGGAACTCAGCGCACACAAAAGAAACACACACATGCGCATTCACGGTAAGCATCCAGACAGAATTATTCACCATCACCTGTAGCCACCAACAAGTACCCGTCAGAACCCACCAGCATCCCTTATAACCCACCCGCAACCCCCAGCACATCTCAGAACCCCTCGACTACCTCTCAGCACCGCTCAGCACCCCTCACCAGCATGGCCTTGTCAGATGCAGTGTTCACACCCATCTTGTGCAGCGGCATCATCACCTACACGCCCTTGCAGACAGGCAGGGAGACAGAGAGAGCAGAGGTGCATTTGAGAAATATGTTTGGGGGCCACATGTGGAGTAGGGATTGGGACAGTAAGTGGCTGAGCTTGCTTGCTCGCAACACCCGTCTTGTGCAGCGGCGCCATCACCTACACGCCCTTGCACAGGGAGACAAATAAATTAGAGGGAGAGAGATATGTGCGGGGTGCGGGGGGGTGGTGGGGGGTGTGGAATATCTCTGGCAGGGTTAGGGAAGAGAAGGGAGAGGGAGAGAGGGGAGGGCGCGGGAGAGAGGGGAGGGTGAGGGAGAGAGGAGAGGGTGAGAGAGAGAGGGGAGGGCTAGGAGGAGAGGAGCGGGTGCAGGAGAGAGGGGAGGGCGAGGGAGCGGGAGAAGGGAGGGTGGGGGAGAGAAGGGAGGATGAGGGAGAGGGAGGTGGAAGGAAAGGCATGTGCAGCGAGGAGAAAAAGGAAGCAGCGATACGCACTTATCCAAGAAAGGGTGATGAATGAGAAAGGGGGACGGAGGTGGAGGGAGAGGGAGGTGGGGGGCGAGGTGTAGAAATTTTTTGAGTCGACTCAAAAGTCATGAGGGAGAGGGAGGTGGGGGGCGAGGTGTAGAAAATTATGGAAGGGAGGGCAGCTGCACTGAGGAGTAGAAGGAAGCAGCGATGGAGAGGGGAAGCACCCAGCCCAGCAGAGGGAGGAGAAGCAGAGGTAGGATGGTGGTGGGTGGTGAGGGGCAAGGGAGGTGGAAGGTAGGTGGAAGGAAGGTGGAAGGAAGGGAGAGCACCTGCAGTGAGGAGTAGAAGGAAGCAGCGATGGAGAGGGGAAGCACCCAGCCTAACACGCCGTGGGGGAAAGCTGTGAGGTCCTCAAACCACAGACACCCGCCCTGGCAGGGGCACAGGAGTGGGGGGGTTGGGGGGGTTGCAGATGGAAACGACGTGCATTGCAGAGTGGACAGGGTTGGATGTACATTTCGAGACGTTTCAAACCCCAACTTTTAACACAGGGTTGGATGTACATCGGATCCGAGATATGGAGCCTCATCTGAGAATTCTCAAAAGCGTACATCGGATTGGAGACATGGAACCTCATGACCTACGTTGCAAACCGTGGTTGTGGCACCACCACTCACTCACGCGTAAATGACAAAATGCATGATAAAATCACCACCATAACAGAAAACCTTCTGGGCACGTGATTGCTGGAGACGCCAAGCGCACACAATACCACGCGCAACGTAAAATCAAATGACACGTGGAAAGCACCGACGCGTGGTGAGTGGCCACTCGTAGAAGCCACGTGTAGAAAGTAGATTTTTGAGACATCTCGTAGAATCTACTTTCTACACTTGGGAAGCACAGACGCGCGTTGAGTGGCCACTCACTACGTCGAATCCCGAGTGCGCTGACTTTTGAATCGACCCAAAAGTCACCTCAAGTGGCCACTCACCACGTGGAATCCCGGGTGTGCTGACAGCAATAGTGGCCATGTGGCGCATGGTGATCACCCATCACTGCCACTCACCACGTCGAATCCTGGGTGCGCTGACAGAGCCATGTGGCGCATGGTGAATATCCAGGTGAAGAAGAGTGGGATCTGGTGGGATGCGGTGGCACATGGTGGCAGCAGGCGGGAGGGAAGGGGTGGAGAGGCTCTTGAGTCGACTCAACAAAAGGCCATGTGACGCATTTTGAATATCCACGTGAAGAAGAGTGGGATCTGGTGGTATGATGACATGGCAGCATAGTATCAATGGGAGGCAGGGGAGGGGTGGAGAGGGTTTTGAGAGGACGAGAAGGAAAAGAACATGGTGAAGAACAGTGGCATCGTATCTGGTGGCATATAGTGGCAGGAAATTGACAGTGAACGTTCAGAGATGACAATTGAACCAGTGCAAAGCCATGTCTTTTCCTACAGGTAGTGGCCATACCTGCACATCAGGTGCGGCCGTACCTGCACAGCAGGAGCGGCGAGCAGCCACAGTGCAGAGGGCGCATTGAGCTGCCTCCTCCTCCTCTGCCTCAGCGCCCATGCCTGTTGCCATGTCATGCCGCTGCCGGGGAGAGGGAAGGGAGGGGGCACTGGAAGAGACGAGGAGGAGGGAGAGGGGGGCAGGAGGGAGAGTGCGTGAGTAGGAACTTTTCGTACGTGGCTCGGCCTACTCTCCTCCTCTGCCTCAGCGCCCATGCCTGCTGCCATGTCATGTTACTGCCGGGGAGACGGAAGGGCGGGGGCACTGGGGCGAGGAAGGGGCGGTGAAGAGTGGTGGGGATGGGGAGAGGGGCAGGAGGATAGGAGCGTGAGTGCGTGAATAGGAGATTTTTGTAGGTGGCTCGCCCGTGGCTTTTTGTACATGGCTCGCCCTACTTCTCCTAAGACGATTTTTGAGGCGCCTCAAATTTCGTACGTGGCTCGCCCTACTTCTCCTCCCACGCCACGCCTCTGCCTCAGCGCTCATGCTTGTTGCCATGCCCTGCCTCCTCCTCACTTCAGCATGATTTAGCAAAGCGATGCGGCGTACATTTGGGTCCCAGGGCATCGAGCCACGAGCTGATGCTCATCTGATGCCGCGTGAGGGGGAAGAGCGCGAGGGGGAGAGTGTGAGGGGCGGGGGAGTGCAGCGTTGTGTGTCTATGCAGTTTAAGAAGAGAAAACAAAAGAGGGGGTGGCGTACATGTATGTATGCCCCAGTGCGGCGAGCTGCGAGAGGATGCTCATCTGATGCCACGTGAGGGGGAAGAGCGTAAATCGGGGCGAGTAAAGAGTGTGTGTCAAAGAAACTTCTGGATAGAAGGAGGAATTGGCATACATTTGGGTCCCAGGGCGGCGAGTTACAAGCTGATGTAGCTCATTTGATGCCACGTGAGGGGGAAGAGCGTAAGTCGGGGCGAGTAAAGAGTGTGTGTCAAAGAAACTTCTGGATAGAAGGAGGAATTGGCATACATTTGGGTCCCAGGGCGGCGAGCTACAAGCTGATGTAGCTCATTTGATGCCACCCACGTGAGGGGGAAGAGTGAGAGGCGGAGAGAGTGAGGCAGGTGATTATAGTTATAGAGAGTGTGCCTTAGTTGTTAGGGTTGGTTCGCCCAACCACGGAACCTATGGCGAAAGTCTCTACGACGGCGGAATGACGGCGAAATGGAAGCGCGTGGATGATTCTAGGTGAAACGGTGGAAATCAGCCTACGGCGTGAGAAGCGGGAGAGAAATCGAGAAGGAACCAAAGAAATGGAGGAAGAGAGAAGGAGAAGCATCGAGGATGAGATCGACGGGGGAAATTGTGGTCTGAGACCAAGGCGCGTTCGAGAAGGTTCCAGATTCGGTCTTGAGGAGTGTTCACCGAATTCGGTTCGGTTCCGTGTGCGACTCGGGGTGAAACGAGGCGCACGCGGTTACTTGGGAAACAAGTGAAGTTACGAATCGCATTTTGTGTCTTGCATGACCATAAAACTGCTTGTACTCATTCTGGAAATCACAACATTGGACAACATTGAAACCAATCAGATTCTGAAAATTGCTGAAGTGTGTATTGACAACTTCAAGCAGAGCTGCGCATATCATTGGATTCGTGAGATCGTGGAGAACACGATAAGCAATAGCAAGTAGACTATTGCCGACTAAGGCGTTTACGATCCTAAGAACTGGTATCAGAGCTTGACGAACGGGCTCGTCGATCGTCGCGAATTCACTTGGTGCGCTAAGTGAAATTAGTGGAGAAGAGGAGTCGTTCACGCCTACGCCATGGGAGACGAGGCGAGTTCGGGTTCCAGTGTGAGTCTTGGAGACCCGCAGTTGAAGGCTCTTCTCGAGGCCCTTGCGAGTGGCCGATTGGTGGCGAAACCGACGATCGGGCTCAGTGAAGCCCAGCGCTTCAACGGGAGCAACTACAACGTGTGGCGGAAGAAGTTCATTCGAAGGGCAGAGGAGGTGGACCTCTTGCCGTACTACCGCCCCGATGAGGAGACGATGGAGGGAGTTGCGCCATCCCCGACGGACACGAAGGAGAAAACAGCGGCGTTCAAAAAACAAAGTAAGCAAGCGTTCTTTCAGCTTTGTCACTCAGTTGCCGATGGAATCGCGGTGGATTTGGACCAGTTTGCAGGGGAGCTGAACTCTGCACAGCGAGCGTGGGAGTACCTAGAGTCCACGTACATGGGTACGAACGATGTCAACAAGAAGGCGATTCGGAAGCAGCTGCTGATGCTGAGCATGGAGAAAGGCGAGAAAATCATGACCTGTCAGAAGTAGTAGGAGTACGGCCTAGGCTTAGTAGCCTAGGCCACAGTAGGACTAGTAACGAGGAGCCAAGTACGAGCTAGGAATGTGTGTAGGAACAGAATTGAGAAAGGATGATTGAACTAGCAAGCAGCAGGATACAAATAGCAAACCCTAAGGGGCTGTACTCACTATAGAGTACCCCACTGCAGGCTACACAAACAACATATTCTGACACACCCCCATAGCCAAAGTGGGGTGTAATCAGCACAATGAGCAGTCATAGCAATAGTTCATAATTATCAGCAAAGCTAGAGGCTATCACAGAGGGCACGTGAGGAGGAGGAGGGACTATGAAAGGAGAGAAGATGGGAGGCGACGACTGAAGCTGCAGACACACGGGCAACAGAAGCGGCTGACACAGTGGCGGCTGACACAGTGGCTACCGAGACAGAGCGCCCCGGAATACTGGAGTAACTGGCTCTGCGGCTACGACGAGCGGCAGAAGCAACGGACCCACGGGCGACTGGTGCAGCAGGCTCTCAGTGGCTACCGAGACAGTGCGTCCCGGAATACAGGAGTAACAGGCTCTGCGGCTGCGACGAGCGGCAGGAGCAACGGACCCACGGGCAACAGGTGCAGCAGGCTCTCTGAGCTACCAGGACAGTGCGTCCCGGACTACAGGTGCTGCGGACGACAAGACAGCAGCCTCCACTCAACCTCCCCCAACAGTCCCACACCCCTCTCACACACCCCCTGCTTCACCCCTAGCTCCACTCCCACATCACCCCCCTAGTGCCACTCCCCACGACTCCCACACCTCCACCCCCCTCAGCGGCAGCTGCAGCAGTGGGAGACGAAAAAGGAGGAGGGGAGAACCCACACCTCTCACCCCCATGCTCGCCACCCCACACCCCAGCCACCGCGGAACGCACAGTGGAATGGGAGCAATGGGCAGCACGGGGGGGGGGGGGGGGGACGGGGCGGGCGTCTGCAGAGGCGGCTCGCGCGGGTCCTGGGGCGGCTGCTGTAGGTGCGGGCTGCTCCAGGGGCGGCTGCTGCAGGTGCGGGCTGCTCCAGGGGCGGCTGCTGCAGGTGCGGGCTGCTCCAGGGGCGGCTGCTGCAGGTGCGGGCTGCTCCAGGGGCGGCTGCTGCAGGTGCGGGCTGCTCCAGGGGCGGCTGCTGCAGTGGCGGGCGGCTCCAGGGGCTGCTGCTGCAGTGGCGGGCGGCTCCAGGGGCTGCTGCTGCAGTGGCGGGCGGCTCCAGGGGCGGCCGCCGCAGTTGAAAGGCAGAAGGGGGGGGGGGGGGGAAACGCACGGCCCCCAGGGCGCCCCGAGGGGCGACGAGAAGGGAGCCGCGCGGCCCCCCCCCGGGGCGCCGCGACGGGCACCAGGGAGGGCGCCGCGACGAGCCCCCAGAGCCGCCTCGACGGGCGACGGGGAGGGTGCCGCGCGGGCCCCCCGAAGTCGCCTCGACGGGCGACGGGGAGGGCGCCGCGCGGGCCCCCCGAAGTCGCCTCGACGGGCGACGGGGAGGGCCGCGCACGGCCCCCGAAGTCGCCTCGACGGGCGACGGGAGGGGACCGCGCGCGGCCCCCGTGGTCGCCACGACGGGCGACTGGTGGGGAGGCCGCGCGGGCCCCCAAGGTCGCCTCGACGGGCGACGGGAGGGGAGGCCGCGCGGGTCCCCGAGGTCGCCTCGACGGGCGACGGGAGGGGAGGCCGCGCGGGTCCCCGAGAGCGCCTCGACGGGCGCTTCGACGGGAGGGGACCGCGGAGCCCCCCCCAAGGGCACCACGACGGGCGCCACGGAAGGGAAAACCGCCAGGCGCCCCGAGCGCGCGGCGGGCAGAAATTAGGGTTTCGCCGCCGCGCACCACGGGGCGCGCGGCGGACAGTACGGCAGCGGAAGCGGGTGGTGGGCCCATACACAGGAAGGCGGCAGACATGCCGCCCTCTGATACCATGTCAGAAGTAGTAGGAGTACGGCCTAGGCTTAGTAGCCTAGGCCACAGTAGGACTAGTAACGAGGAGCCAAGTACGAGCTAGGAATGTGTGTAGGAACAGAATTGAGAAAGGATGATTGAACTAGCAAGCAGCAGGATACAAATAGCAAACCCTAAGGGGCTGTACTCACTATAGAGTACCCCACTGCAGGCTACACAAACAACATATTCTGACATCACCTACATCAACAGGGCGAAAAGCTACAACGACGATTTGCGGGTGATGGGAGCCGCGGAGACGGAGCACGAGATGATTGACTATATCATCCAAGGCCTTCCTAAGGAGTGGGAATCCGACATCGGTGTGTTTACGTACCAACCGCCGGAGAGTTTGACGAAGCTGCAGGAGATTCTGCAATCGCTTGAGACGGTGAAGGAGATGAGGAAAAAGAAAGCGACAGCAGCAGCTAACGAATTCGACGAGGAGAGGCCGGCTTTGGTGAATGCAACGAAGGCGTTTGGAGCGTGCTACCAGTGTGGAAAGAGGGGGCATAAGGCGATAAACTGCTACGAAAATCCGCGAAGCAGGAACTTCAAAGGCAAAGCGGTGGAGAACGACAAAAATGGAGAAAACAAGGGGAGCGGAGTGGCAGCAGAAACGAGGTTTTGGCGGCAAGTGTGACTATTGTGGGCGCTATGTGTGAAAATTTTAAAAAGAAGAAGGAGGAGGGTTGCACTAGCAAGAATGAGGATACAAATAGCAAACCCTAGAAGGGTTGTACTCGCTATAGAGCACCCCACTACAGGCTAGAGCATAATATTCTGACACACCCCCATAGCCAAAGTGGGGTGTAATCAGCAGAGCAAGCAAAGCAGTACAAGCTCAGGGTGGATCACAATGTCACCACACATTCTGAGCACAAGTTCAAGAAGCAATAGTTTAAAGTTCACAATTATGAGCAAAGCTAGAGGCTATCGCAGAGGGCAAGTGAGGAGGAGGAGAGACTGTGGGGGAGAGAAGATGGGAGGCGACTGCTGACGCTGCAGACACACAGACGAGCTGCTGGCTCAGTGGCTACCGGAACAACGCTCCGGACTACTGGGGTAACTGGCCCCGCGGCTAAAAGTAGCGGCAGACGAGCAACGGACCCACGGGCGACTGGCGACTACCGGAGATTGTAGCCTCCGGACTGCTGCTGCTGCTGACGACAAGACTGCTGCCTCCACTCGACCTCCCCCAAACAGTACCACCCCTCCTGACACACACCCGCTGCTACACCGCTAGCTCCACTCCCCCTTCACCCCCCCTTAGCACCACTCCAACGGCTCCAACAAGTCCACCCCCCCTCAGCGGCAGCTGCAGCACAGGGAGACGGAGGAGGAGGAGGAGCAGGGAATGGCACACAGTAGTTTCACCCCCGTACCCCTCACCCCCAAACCCTAATTCAGGAGAACGGGCTGTAGGAGGGGTGGGGCGCCAGCAGAAGCACGGGGGACAGCGGGGAGGGCAGGGGCAGCGAGGAAAGGGCCGCCCACGGGCCTGGCACAGCCTCCCGAACCGCGCGCAGGCGGCCCGAGCCGCGCGCGGGCCTGGCGCAGCCCGTACGGGCCGCGCGCGGGCCTGGCGCAGCCCGTACGGGCCGCGCGCGGGTCTGGCGCAGCCCGTACGGGCCGCGCGCGGGTCTGGCGCAGCCCGTACGGGCCGCGCGCAGGCCTGGCGCAGCCCGTACGGGCCGCGCGCCGGCTGTACGGGCCGCGCGCAGGCCACGACGGGCGACGGGGGGCGACGCGCGGGTCCCCGTCGCCCGTCGCAGCGCCTCCCGAGGGCGACGCGGCGAGTGACGGGGTAGAAGCCCGCCGCGCGCCTCGGGGCGCACAGCGGGCAGAGAACCGCCGCGCGCCACGGGGCGCACGGCGGGCAGAAAACCGCCGCGCGCCTCGGGGCGCACGGCGGGAAGAAAAACTGCCGCACGCCCCGTGGCGTGCGGCACAGAAGGTAGTAGTGGAAGTTGCAGCGGAAGCAACGAGGTGGTGAGCCCACCCACAGGATCGATCCAAGGGGATCGACCTGCTCTGATAGCATGTGAAAATTTTAAAAAGAAGGAGGAGGGTTGCACTAGCAAGAATGAGGATACAAATAGCAAACCCTAGAAGGGTTGTACTCGCTATAGAGCACCCCACTACAGGCTAGAGCATAATATTCTGACACTATGGACATCGTGCCGCAGAGTGCTACTCAAATCCGAACAGCAGGAGCTACAAGGGTCCGTCGCAGCAGAGGAATGTGGCGGCAAAGGCGAATGTAGCAGAAGCGAACGAGGATGATGTGATCCTTGGAGGAGCGCATCGTGCGAACGTGGTGCGTTTACCAAAGGAGGTTCGGCAGACGGACGATCATGAGAAGACGGCATGGTTCATGGACAGCGGATGCACGCGTCACATGACATTCAGGTCAGATTGGATGGAGAACGTGAGGGAGTCGAGTGAGGATTATATACTGCAAGGTAACAGTGGGAAGTTGCCAGTGACAGGAGAGGGTGACGTGGTGCTGCAGAGTCCGTATGGAGAGATGAGACTGGAGAATGTGCTGCTGGTTGAGGATTTGAAGGTGAATTTGGTCAGTCAGTCACAGCTTGATGACTTAGGGTGCAAGATATTTTATGACAGTGGAAAGGTGACTGTGTTTGGTCCTGAGTGGGAGAAGTATGCCGATGGCTACTTCAGTGACGGGTTCTATGAGATGAACTTGGTCGCGATGAATGATATGGATGAGATCTATGAGGACCATGAGTATGGTGAGATGGGAGAATTCGAGGAGTTATCGGTTGAGGATGATGAGAGTGAGGACTCGGATGATACGGCAGCGAGTGTGGAGGCAGCAGTGAAGCTGAAAGAGGAGATAGTCGCCATGGAGGCAGCAGCAGTGAATGGTGGAGATGGAGTTGGTGTCAACACTTTTGCAGCAGCGATCGTGGTTGAAGATGAAGCAGTAAATGCGAAGTGTGTGGGAGTCGCTGTGAAAGGGGACATCATGGTGAAAGGATCAAAGGCGAATGCAACTGCAAAGGGGCGAGTGCTTACAAAGGAGGAACACGTTGAGGGGTATGAGACCCGAGAGGTGTTGAGTGTTGAGATGCCGAGGAGAAGCGAGAGGCTCAAGAAAATGTTTCATGGATTGGATGTCAAGGCGCTCAACTTCAAGACACGTAAGGAGAGGTTCAAGGTGCAGGAGCTGCAGGGGAGTGTGAAGGCGACTTAGACCCTGTGAAGGCTACGAGGAACAGGGGAGCAGTGTGAGTGGTGTTCGTGGTTGACGAACCACAGGGGAGATTGTTAGGGTTGGTTCGCCCAACCACGGAACCTATGGCGAAAGTCTCTACGACGGCGGAATGACGGCGAAATGGAAGCGCGCGGATGATTCTAGGTGAAACGGTGGAAATCAGCCTACGGCGTGAGAAGCGGGAGAGAAATCGAGAAGGAACCAAAGAAATGGAGGAAGAGAGAAGGAGAAGCATCGAGGATGAGATCGACGGGGGAAATTGTGGTCTGAGACCAAGGCGCGTTCGAGAAGGTTCCAGATTCGGTCTTGAGGAGTGTTCACCGAATTCGGTTCGGTTCCGTGTGCGACTCGGGGTGAAACGAGGCGCACGCGGTTACTTGGGAAACAAGTGAAGTTACGAATCGCATTTTGTGTCTTGCATGACCATAAAACTGCTTGTACTCATTCTGGAAATCACAACATTGGACAACATTGAAACCAATCAGATTCTGAAAATTGCTGAAGTGTGTATTGACAACTTCAAGCAGAGCTGCGCATATCATTGGATTCGTGAGATCGTGGAGAACACGATAAGCAATAGCAAGTAGACTATTGCCGACTAAGGCGTTTACGATCCTAAGATTAGTCGCACTTGGATAGAAAGAGGTACGTGACATACGTTTGGGTCCCAGGGCAGCGAGCTGGGAGCTGATGCTCATCTGATGCCACGTGAGGGGGAAGAGGGCCAGGCGGAGAGCGAGGGTGGAGCCAATCAGCGTGAGCCACCTGGCATGACAGAGAGAAATTGTGGCGGGTGTGTGCACGAGCAAAGTAGAAAAGAAAGCATACACGTACATAACGGACAATTTGCAACGTTAAAAAGCCATGGCATTACTGAGTCGAGTTTTGAGTCGACTCAAAACATGGCATTACTGAGTCGAGTTTTGAGTCGACTCAAAACATGGCATTTCTGAGTCGAGTTTTGAGTCGACTCAAAACATGGCATTACTGAAGAAAAGACGGTCGATTCATTCGTAGAAAAGAACGAGCATTGTCGGGCAATCAGGTGAGTTTTGAAACTTCCAACTCAGAAGCGAACATTGTCAGGCAATGCGAGTCTCACCAGGGGGCTCCTGTGGTGGCTTGTATCGAGGACACCATTTGAGTCACAGCGTCTACAGGCACACCCAGCCACGCCCAGCCACCCAACCACCATGCTGGTCCGGCTGCTGCTCCCACTGCTCCCGCTACGTCTCCCCCCCTCCCTGCTCCTACTGCTGCTGCAGCGTCTAACAAACCATCAGAATCTGAACCTGAGCCCCCTGCGTGTGCTTCGTGTCCCCTCCACTGAACCCATTCTTGAGACCCTTTAAAGCCTGACTCTCGCTCCAGGGGTTCTGAGTCGCGGTCCCACGTGTTAAGAGTGGTGATACTGTCGTTGCCAGCTGCTTCTGATGCGTTATAGGAGGACTCGCTATGGGACGACCTGTTATCAGATGCTTCGATTTGGAGCGGCAGCAATGTGTCACTTGCGAATCCTCGCGCATTTAGAAGGTAGCTGTGTGGAGGGTAGCTGCTTATTAAGTGGGAGTTGTATAAGAGGTGACTGCTGAAGCGTAACCGTAGGTGTGCTTGGCTTAACAGGGGTTGGCTCGACGGTGATTGGGTGACACTGGTTTGGCTGGACAGTGATTGGTTCTCAGCAGATCCAATGAACGGCAGCGATGGCCTGATGGCTGATCGGCTTGGCAGGGAAGCACCAGGGGCATTTTGACACGTCACTGATTGGCTGGAGGATGAGATTTGCGAATTGACCAACGGGGCTGCTGCTGACGTGTCAAGTGGCCGGTTGGGTGAGGGAAAGACGGAGGGCCAATGAGAGACAGACACGGGAGAGGGGGATTGGGTTGAGGAGATCCGAGAAATGGAAGGTTCGGGAGAGGTGGGTCGAGGAGAGGAGGGAGAGGAGAAGAGAGAAGCACGAAGGGAGGAGGAGGAGGAGGAGGATGAGGCGGAGGAGGGTGAGTGAGAGATTAAAGCTGGCAGGAGGCGGGAGTGGGGAGAGGAACGGCGGCGAAGGGCGGAGAGGCGGCGCAGGAGAAGCGGTGACGGCATTGGATTCGGAGTGTTCGAATTTGTAATGACTCGTTTCGTTTGGGTAAGCCTTCCTGCCACTGAAGCCGCGTCGGATTCACAGCGCTGGCCGAGTTTAGCACTGGAAAGGCTGTCGAGGCGCGTCAAGTCCGCAAGTTGAATCGTGGAGAGCTGAGGTGAGTCGGTGAAAGCGTGCGACACGCGGAAAAGAGAATGACGGCTGCGAGGTGAAGCGACGCGGAGTATGGGAAGTGAAATGCAACGGGGGGTGGTCCCTGGAGATCAGCCTCTGACTGTGACTATTTCGATGGTGATCTTTCCCCTGAAATATCGCTTGCTGCCGCAGCAGCACCCGGAAGTTGAATGTGGAGCTCGAGGACGCATTCTCTTCAAGTCACATGCCCTATCAATTTCGGGTCGGTCTGAAACAAAGATGCACGAGATTTCGCGTCAAGGGCGAAATGTCAGTCTCGTAGGACACAATTATCAAATTTGGGATCGACATATCTGTTTCGAGAGCGCATTCTCAAATCGAGCACGCTGTCAACTTTAATGTTATCTTTACATCAGGGTGTATACGCATTTTCATTGAAGTGTATCAAATTCGGCTCGGGTGCTTATTGCGAAGCTGGTTGTTCGAGGCTTCTAGAACCCTATTCCCTGTGTTCTAGATTCTATAGATTCTAGAACCTAGCCTAGAACCTCTCTTCTTGAGGCTTCTCGAGACAATCCGAAGTTCGAACCACCGTAACTCATACGAGAGAGGCCTATAAAGCCAGTGCGACCAGGTCTTAGTATAGAATCCTTGACACGTAAATCCTACGTAATTTCGGCAACAATCAGCGGTCCCACTACTACTGCGCAGACTTTTATTTTCCTGCACCATTTACTCCACTACCCCATATTTTCCTTCAAACTCCTACCCTCTTCTAAACCGCCGCAATGGCAGCGTCAGCGCCAGCGATTCCAGACATTGGCCAGGCAGTGGAGGATCTCTCCGCTCGAGTCGCCACGGAGATTAACGGCATCGCAGGTAGCGCCGACTCCGCCGATTCCGCCTCCGCGGACGCCGCCGCCGCCGCTGCGTCCGCTGCGGCGGGGCCTCCCGCAGTGGACGTGATCGAGAGCCTGTGCATGCGGTGCCACGAGCAGGGCACGACGCGGCTCCTGCTGACACGTGTCCCGCATTTTCGGGAGCTCGTCATCATGGCGTTCGAGTGCCCGCATTGTAACGAGTCCAACAACGAGGTACAGTTCGCCGGGTCGTTACAACCCACCGGCGTACGGTTCTCCCTCTCCGTACCGGTCTCTGAGGAAGGAGCAACCGAGGAAACTACGGACTCTCACGAGGCGCTGATGAACCGACAAGTGGTGAAATCCGATTCGGCGACGATCCGAATTCCGGAGATCGACTTAGAGATCCCGCCCGAGTCGCAGCGCGGCACGCTCACCACCGTGGAGGGCGTTTTGACCCGCGCGCACGATGGGCTTGGCGCGCTGCAGGCGGAGCGACGCGCGGCGGACGCCGCCGTCGCCGCCGCAATCGACGAATTCCTCGCGAAATTGAAATCCTGCATCGACGGCTCGCGCGCGTTTACGCTCGTGCTGGACGATCCGTCGGGTAACAGTTACGTCGAGAACCCGCGCGCTCCGGAACCCGATCCGATCTTGAAGGTTGAGCATTACGAGCGAACGGCGGAGCAGAACGAGAAGCTAGGCTTTCTCTCGTCTCCTGCAGACGGGGGGGAAGGCGGGGAAGCGGGGATGGCGGGGGAAGGCGCAGTTGGGGATCCGACGAAGCTTCCGCACGGGTCGGTGGGTGCTGAGCTGGCGTATCGCGCGATTGCCGGCGGGAATAACGCGGACCTGGCGAGTAACGCGCTGCTGTGCGGATACTCCGCGCCCGAGGAGGTGATGGTGTTCCCCGCCACGTGCAGCGCGTGTGGCGCTAGCGGCACGGCGAGCGGCGCGGAGAGTGGCGCGAGTGGGGACACGGGGAAGGGGGACAGAGGAAAGGGGGACGCGGAGGGGGGAACTGATGGTGGAGCGGAAGGGGGAGCAGCGGACGTGGACGAGGTGTGCGTGACGCGCATGTTCGCGACGCGGATTCCGTATTTCAAGGACGTAATCCTGATGTCCACGTCATGCGACGCGTGCGGGTATAAGAACTCCGAGTTGAAAGCCGCCGGCGGCGTGGCGCCCAAGGGACGCAAAATCACCCTCACAGTCCGCAACCAGAAGGACCTGTCCCGCGATATAATCAAAGCGGAATCCGCGGCGGTGTATATCCCCGAGATTGAATTAGAACTAGGCGCGGGGACGCTAGGCGGACGGGTGACTACAGTGGAGGGGCTTGTAACGGAGATCGCGGACAGCTTGAAACGGATCCGGCCGTTTGAGATTGGGGACAGCGCTCCCGAGTGGCGGAGGAGCAAGTGGCAGGAGTTGGATAGGCAGCTGCGCGCATTGGCTGCTGGCGAACCCGTGAGGGTGAAACGGAACAGAGCGACCGTTGCTGGTGATGCCGCTGGCGCTGGCGCTGCTGCTGGTGGTGCTGGGGATGAGAATGAGTCAGGAGCAGAGGGGAAGTTGGAGAAAGAGAAGGGAGAATCTGGGGAGGAAGGGAGGATGGAGGAGGCGGAGGGGGAGGAGATGGAGGAGTTGACGGAGTGGCATTTGGTTGTGGACGACGCGTTGGCAAACTCGTTTGTGTCGTTTGTGGGCGAGAGATTGGAGGACGATGGGCAGGTGCAGGTAGAGGAGTATGTGCGGTCGTGGGAGCAGGACGAGGAGCTTGGTCTGCACGACATGCGGACGGGGGAGCAGCAGGGTGAGCTGGCGGCCATTCAAGAGTAACTGGCGGGGGATGATGGGCAGGTGCAGGTGGAGGAGTATGTGCGATTATGAGAGCAGGACGAGGAGCTTGGGCTCCATGACATGCAGACAGGCGAGCAGCAAGTGCAGGAGGGGGGGAGCAAGGAGAAAACAGAGCTGGATTCGATTCTGGAGTGACTGACAAGCAGATATGAAGGCAAACAGGCGGAGGTGCAGGTGGGGGAGTATGTGTGGTCGTGGCAGCAGGAGGTGGAGCTGGGACTGCATGACATGCGCACAGGAGAGGAGCATGTGCATGAAGAGGGGAGGGAGGGAAAGCTGAGCTGGGGGCGATACAGGAATGACTGCTAGGGGCTGGAAGGTGGGGAAGCAAGTGAAGTGTAGGGTGTGTGTGTGCGGTCGTGGCAGCAGGACGCGGAGCTGGGGCTGCATGGCATGCACACAGGGGAGGAGCAGGGATGTGGTGGGGCATGAGTTAGAATCAATTAAAGATTGAGGCCCACCCTGATGATGCCACGCAGAAGTGAGGTCATGGGAATGGGAGAAAAGTGGGCCCGCCAGAGCACCACATAGCGCCTGCAATTTGGACTAGCAATCCTGGATTCCTGCCTGTTACAATCCGTAGGGGGGTTTAGTCAGGATGTTGCACAGGGTTGATTGCAGGGTAGTGCGCAGCGGAATGATTGGTGACGCTTGTCAGAGTGAATGTAAAATGACAAAAATGACAAAAACGAAGACATACGGTACATAGGTATTGTTGGGGAAAAGGTAAATGACTCATGCAATTCAGCAGTTCGATTCGATAGTATAAAACTACTAGTAGTCAGAAATAGTACGTAGGAATGATGGACTAGGAAGCAAGGATGAGTACAAGTACTAGCGTTGACCTAAAGTGTTGTACCCCTTAGAGTATGCCCCACTACAGCCTAGAGATAACAAATGCAATTTGACACACCCCCATAGGCAAAGTGGGGGATAGCAAACACAACGGACGGTCACAAGACCTGTCAAGCAAGAGAATAAAGCAAAGTAGAGCTCAGGGTGGATCTCAAGATCATCACGCAGTCTGAGCACAAGCAAGCGGCCACACGGCCAGTTCACATGCAGAGCTTTAAAAGCACAAGCAGTACTGTGATCACAACATAGCAAGAGCAAGCATGCAGGTATATATATACATAGATCACAGTACAAGACAAAGTCAAGCAACCAGCAGGTGAGGCAGAGTAGGCACAAGTCCTAACGCAGTGCAGAAACGCTGATGATCACCAGACCCAAGGGCCTTGGTGAAGACATCAGCAGTGTTGGCCCGAGAGGCCACGTAAGCAAGGCGCAGCTGACCACGCTGCTGCAGCTCCCGAACAAGAAAGTAACGAAGAGCAATGTGCTTCGTTCTGTGCTCCAGTCTCTGCTCCTGACACAAGGCAATCATGGCCTTGTTGTCCGTACAGATTTGGAGGAGAACGAGACCGCTCACCCAAGTCGGTCATCAGGTAGGTCAGCCAGCGTAACTCCTGTGCAGCCATTGCCCCAGCGTAGATCTCGACCTCACAGCTGGAACCAAGTACAGAAGACGAACGAGTGGACCTCCACGAGACAGAACCAGAGCCGAGACAGAAAAAGTAACCATGGGACGACCGCTGAGTCGCCTGGTCGTCGGCCCAAGAAGCGTCGGAGTGTCCTGTGAGTACCACTGAACCCCGTCCTCCAAGCACAAGCCCCATGCCCGATGTACTGCACAAGTAACGCAACACCCTCTTAGCAGCCTGCCAGTGCTCTGGTCGGTGTCTCCCAGGCGCAACGTAGCGCGCCAGGATGCTGAGAGGGTACGCGAGGATAGGTCGAGTGCACGTTATCAGGTACATGAGGCAGCCCACAAGCTCTGGATACTGGCCACTCGGCTCTACGGACTCGTCCGAAGGTGGACTTGAGAGCGAATGGTCTGTAGGCAGAGGAGTGGACTGTGGCGAGGAGAACTCGAAGCCGAAGCGCTGAAGGACCTGATGCACCATGTGTGACTGAGTCACAGTGATGGTGCGTCGTGCTCTGTCCCGGGTGATCTGCAAGCCAAGATAGATGCGCATCTCACCCAGGTCAGTGCAGGTGTGTTTCTTCTGCAGCTCCGCCTTCACAAGGGTCAGCGCCTCAGTGTCGGCAGTAGCAAAGACCAAGTCGTCGACGTACACGAGGATGTAGAACGGCGGCAGAGAAGGGTCGGTGCGCAGAAACAGCGACGGGTTAGCAGTCGAAGGAGCAAACCCAAGAGCCTCAAGTGTCGTCCTCAGTGTGTCGTGCCACTCGCGGGGCGCCTGGCTGAGACCGTAGACTGGCCGCCGGAGTCTCCACTGGGTACCCTCAGGAAACGACCCAGTGAAGCCAGGTGGGCGGCACAGCCATATCTCCTCATGAAGGGTGTCTTGCAAGAAAGCTGTGGAGAAGTTGAGGGAGTGCAGCTCGTAGTCATACTGTGCTGCAACGTGTAGTAACACCCGAAGAGTGGTTATCTTCGGGGTGGGGGAGAAGGTCTGGAAGAAGTTGACCCCCTGTCGCTGACTGAAGCCTCAAGCAACGTAACGCGCCTTGAAGGCAGGAGGAGAACCCGACGGCCGCTTCACTCTAAAGATCCACATGTTATCGACTATGTTCGCCCCAGGAGGGGGAACCTCGTCGACGTAGGTGCCTGTGGATTTCCAGGAAGCCATTTCTGCGTCCATGGCTGTCTGCCACTGAGAGGAGAACTCACCCATGATCGCCTCTACGTAAGAGCGTGGGGTGGGGATGTCCAGTGCATCCGGGTCTCCCTCAGGGCAAAGCAGCATGGACGCGAAACGGGGTAAAACGGCCGCGAGACACTCGAGCTCAAACTGCCTGTCCTCAAGGACGTCACAGCCAAGGGCAAGCTCACCCCCTACGGACGGAGGACAGACAGACTCAGACTCAGTAACAAGACTCGCGACGTAGTCGAGACGACGGGTAGCAGCAAAGCCGACTAGCTCAGTGACTAGGGCAAACGCAGCAGTAGACTCGAAGGAAGGGTGAGTGACAACAGTGGTGAGGAGACGAGTGACAGTAGGAGGAGCAGCACAAGCAAGGTCAGACTCAGGGCCAGGAACGTCAGGAAGAGAGGACGCCGGAGGAGATGGCAGAGCAACAAGCTGTGGAACAGAGGAAGGACGAAGTGCCATAGTGTGCGTGCCGGGGACAGGTGGATGACGAGAACGACGAGCACGATTGACAGTGCGAACAGGGGAGGCAGGACGAGACTCAGGCTCACGACGCTCTGTCAGGGAGCCTGTCTGTGCAGGGTAGGGAGAAGGAGCAGGCAGTGGAGAGCCAGGCAGTAACTGCGGCTGTGACTGGTCAGACGGAGGACACAGGAGAGGCGGAGTAAGGCCAGTGGAAGACGGAAGACTAAGAACCTGACGAAGTGCTGAGTCAGGCGGTGGTAGGGACGACTGCGGCTGCGGGTAGAAAAACGGTCGGCGCGGTGCAGTACCCGTACCGTCAGCAGCTCCAGCACCTCCAACACCTCCAGCTCCAGCACCTCCAGTACCTCCAGCTCCAGAACCTCCAGTACCTCCAGCTCCAGCACCTCCAGTGCCTCCAGCTCCAGTACCTCCAGCACCAACAGCTCCAGTACCTCCAGCACCAGCAGCTCCAGTACCTCCAGCACCAGCAGCTCCAGTACCTCCAGCACCTCCAGCTCTAGCAACTCCAGGACCAGCAGCTCCAGTACCTCCCGTACCTCCAGCTCCAGCACCTCTAGCACCAGCAGCTCCAGTACCTCCAGCACCTCCAGCTCTAGCACCTCCAGCACCAGTACTCCAAGCTCCAGGAACACGGCCCCGCCGAACAACCTAGTCGCGAAGCTGCTGCGGCGAGAGGGTCTCCTGTCAACGAGATTGCTGCTGCTGTCCAACGCCAGAACCCCCAGCAACAGCACCCACAACTCCACCACCCCTAGGACTCGCAGCACCCCCAGTGTCAGCACCCCCAGAACCGGCACCCCCAGAACCAGCAACCCCAGACTCAGCACACTTAGAGTCAGCAACCTCAGGACCAGCACCTCTAGAGTCCGCACCCCCAGTGTCACCACCCCCAGCAGCACCAGAGTCCACAACGACAGGCCGAGGAGGCGGCGAAGACGGCCGAGGCGGAAAACCAGGAGGGGTCTCCAAGCGCGGGGAGCGGCGAGTGGCCGATGTGTCGTCAGCAGCGGGGTCACCCCCCTCAGTCGGGCCAGAGGTGTCAGAGGAGACCTCCAAAGGCTCAACCAAGGGGGGTGGGCGAGGGCGACTACTGCGCGGGCGAGTCGCACCGGACGTGGACCTTCCTGTGCGCCGCGGCGGAGGCGAAGGTGCTGAACCGCACGCTCATCATCCCCATGGCCAGGTGCCTGCACGGGCGGCATACTTTGTCCCATGTGACGGAGGAGAAACCGATGGTGCTGTACTATGCGATGGACCACTGGCCGCGGTATGAACCCTGAGGGAGTAGGACCCTGTGGGGGGAGGGGGTCTACCGGGGGGGGACCTGGGACCAGGAAGAGGGGCGGCGGGGAGAGTGGAGAAGACGCGTGCGGGTAGAGACGGTAGAAGCAGACCGACTCGTCAAAGGTGACGTCCAGTGAGGACAGGACGCGACGCGAGGAAGGATGGTAAAACTGCCAGGGCGGCGCGTCGGTGGGGAAGCCAAGGAAGACGCAGCGGAGAGTGCGAGGAGAGAGCTTGCCCGCGGTGGTAACGCAGACAAGGGAGAGCGCACCCCAGACCTGAAACGCCGACGCATCGCCAACTTCCCCCGTCCAACGCAGTGTAGGCGAGGTCTCTGGCACAAAGACACGGGGCCAGAGGTTGAGCTAATGCGTGGCGTATCGGACCACAAATGGCCACAGAAAATGGGGAGCAGCCGCATGGATCATGGAGGTGCGAGCAACCTCCATGACCAAGCCAATGCGACGCTCAGCAATCCCATTCTGCCATGGAGAGGCCGAAAGCGTGAACGACTGGACGATGCCCTCCGCA